TCAAATCCTGATTGCTCTCTTTCAAAGCCAATATTTTTACTGTCTAGTGTAAATCTTTCTTTCAGTTGCCTATGTTTGCACCACTGTAGGTGAAATCCTGTATCCATCAATTCCTCTTAGAGTTTTAAATCTGTATTTATCATCTTCATATATTAGTAAATCTGTGTATGTAATCCATTGCTCTCCTTTCTTCTTACCGAATTTGTAAAAAGCTTCTTCCATTGAAACTGATAATGGGATTTTTGGACATCATTTAATTTTGTAGTAGTTTCATATCTTTAACCTGGATTATATGAGTCCCCACATAATCTGGGAAAAACAAAAAACCTGGGATCAGATGCTGGGATATAGGGCCTGTCTGGAAGGGCCCTCAGATAACCCGTTCAAAGCAGATATTGTTGGATTTTCTGCCTTGATGTTCTGGGGGCCCTTCCACACACCCTATATCCCAGAATATCAAGGCAGAAAAACCCACAATATCTGTTTTGAACTGGGTTATCTGAGTCCACACTCAATGTGGGATTTTCTGCCTTGATATTCTGGGATATAGGTCTGTGTGGAAGGGCCCTACATATCATAAACAGGGTTCTTACTTCTCATAAAATCCCATGATTTCCCAGTAACTATATATGTGTATATGTATAGATATACTGTTCATATATTCATAAACCTGCCCTTTGTTCATGCATATGAGATTGTTTCCTTTTTCTGTGCATTTGAACAGAAGTGTTTGGTTTTATATATTAATGGATATCACCGTTATTTAACACTAAAGAACCACTAGTACACGATACCATGCTCTTTAGTCTACATATTTTAAAGGAAGCTACTCCTGTAAATGGTTAGCTGATTACAGTAGAAAATACATCACATTCACTGTCATATTTTTTCTTTATGAGACCCTGGGTGTAAGCCGCTCTGCGTCACCTTTGGGTTGAAATAGGCGAGATAAAAATGATGTAAATAAATAAATAAGCAGATTTCTGTCAGATAACAGGTCTGCCACCTTTAGTCCGAGTACGTTTCTGTGCCTTCAATGGACAGAAATTCAACCACTAACATATAGTTGTTATAATGCTAAAATGTTAAGCTGCTTATTTTTGAATGTTCTACATTTGTTAAAATGATGTAATCCATATCAGAGAATACGTGTCAACAATAGTACTAGCAGGGCCCCTTCTGTATAAGTTTATAAATGTAGTAGCCTGTAGATGCAAAAAAAGGCTGAACTACTAATAGGAAATGACAAATAAGAGCAATGCTGCTGTAAGTGGCAAGAACATCAGAAGCACCTGAGCCACATGCTTTTAAGCAGAAATGTGGACTGAATATCCTATTGCAATTATAACAAAAAAAAAATAGTTATCAGTTGACCAGATAATGAACTACCCTTGTGCCTTTAAAAGCTTTTCGATCTGTAGGAACCAGCAGGATTTTTTCCAGTTATAGAGATAATATCTAAATTTACAGATGAAGTGCCTGTTAAAGGCACAAGAACTAAGAATGGTTTAGTAGAACCAGGACAGGTCTTGTTTCTTCCTACAAACAACTATTTCAGGGATTTTCATAGTGGGAAACTGGCTTTAAATACCATTGTGTATTTCCTTTCTCAAAGATAACTTACACTGGATCTACACTGCCATATAATCCAGTATCTGATCCCAGATTTTCTGTTTTGAAATGGATTGTATGAGTCTACACTGGTATATAATGCAGTTCAACACAAATTATCTGGAATCAGATACTGGATTATATGGCAGTGTAGAAGGGGCCTTGGTTGATCTCACAAACTATGTAAAGAAGAGCAACCAAGGGTCCTTCTACACAACCATATAACCCAGAATATCTGCTCTGACCTGGGTTATTTGAATCCACACTACCATATATTCCAGTTCAAGGCAAATAATGTGGGATTTTATTCAGTTGTGTGGAAGGGGCCTTTGACAGTCCTAAAGCCACCCAGAAATTATGTTAATTGCATGAAGCCAAAGCAACTCCTGGTGTTTGAAAAGTCCTGGGGAGGAAGTAAGAACAGGATGAGGATCCTTTTCAGGAACCAGGATGAGTTTAATCCTCTTTGACCATAGTCTAGTGACAGCAAGTTCCCATCTCTTTAGCTCCTATTCCAGCATCCTCATATTATTTGGCATTTGTCAGCAAAATGCTAACAGAGAGGCCACGTGAGAAAGAGCACCTTCAACAGTTGCCTAGAGAAGAATCAGTAGGTTCAGTTGAGCATGAAAGCAATTTCTTAAAACAGTGATTAAAAATACAGGAGCTCTTTTTTCATGTGACTACCTAAAATGCTATTGGGTAGTTAACAGAGGCCCCATGTACACTGCCATATAATGTATTATATGACCAGGGTAGACTCATATAATGCAGTTGAATGAAGTGCATCATATGAGTCTACACTGACCAAACTGCATTATATGGCAAGGCAGAGGGAGCCAGAGTGTTCTTGTGATCCAAGATATCTAAACTCTTAGAAAAACCAAGTACTTAGATTAAAGCCATTATAGACCTGTTTCAATAAATAAGCAGCAGCACAAATACTTCTGTTTTAAGAGGATTGTGGACTTGAGTTGTTAAGTAACCTTTCTTAGGTGGTGCAGAGATGTGTACCTCCCTTCTGAAATTATTTCTGAAGTAAACTAGATCACAGAACAAGGGAAGTGGAGAGAATATAGTCATGCTTACTGCTGTTTAAGTGTTTGAATGCAGCCATTGTTTCAAGGGCTTGTGCAGTTATTTTCTAAATAGCCTCTGCTCCAGAAACACATAAGGAAGTTGTAGCTGCAAGACATAACTTTTTGTCAGCCATGAAGTACTGTAAAAGTCTTTCCACACCATGTGCCAGACATGTTTTAAAGGCACTTCTTTTTCTGCAAAGCCCAAAAGTTTTCTCTCTGGAATTTATTGTTGAGAGAAGAAAGTCTTTGAGCTTTGCATAAGCCTCCATGTTCAATGACAGGATCCTCAACAGCTCTTAAAAGTGATCTGTGGTAGGAGACAATTTGAGAACTAAGTGTGTGTGTGTGTCTTTTCAAACTCTATATCAGGAATTGCTGGGCAGCTACAGAAGCTCTTAGCTTAACACTTGAGATCAAATACCTGGTGATATGTAGCAAATGTTTGTGAGTTGTGTCCATCCAGACTTCTTCTTTGCTCATTTTATTCACTATCTTAAAAACTCTAGCTGCTGGAAAGGTATGAGTGAAAAAAAATCCATCCACTAATACCGTTTCTAAAACAGACGCATACTGTGGCAGCCATTCTGGTCAGCTTAGCTGCAAACATGTATTGTCTGAGTCTCAGTTCTTGATGTTCACTTCAGAATGGTTCTTGTTGCTGGCTGCCTTATTTCATTATTCATATACTCTCTTGGCAAAGATAGCATACAATCCACCTACTGAACCATGCAGAAAGCAGAACAGAAGCCAAGATTGCCCCCTGCTGATGGGAAATAGGAGCGTGGAAGACAACACAAAAGTTCACAGGGATGATAGCACAGTCATAATAGTGTGTCCGGCAATTCTTGTGAGTGTATCAGTTTCAATTGGTGAGTACTTCTGGTGTGGACATGCTGCTGGGACAAATAAGGAGGACAACCTGTTGATTCCTACCCTTCTTGGCCATTCATTCAAGGAGAAAATGCAACTTGATCCCAACTACAACCATGGTTTCTTTCTGGAACGCCTGGGGGATTTGGGAATCGGAGGCATTGTGTTGCAGTGGTTCTGGTCATACTTCTCAGGCAGCTTCCAGATGGTGGCTCTTGGGGATAGCTGCTCCCCAAAAAAAGGAGCTGTTATGTGATATCCCCCATTCTATCCCAAATGCTTTTTAACATTTGCATGAAATTACTGGGAGAGATAATCAGTATGCCAATGACACCCAAATATATTTCTACGTACCTTCAAATACAGCCTTAGCTAACGATAGTGTGTTTCCTCTGAATGAATGACTGGAGGAAATAATGGGCTGGATAAAGAAAAACAAATTGAAACTGAATCCAGATAAGACAGAGGTGCTTGCCCTTAAGGGTCCTAACCTAGCACTGGAGGTGTCTCAAACAGTTCTGGATGGGTTATGCTCCCCCTGAAAGACTGTGTTTGCAGCGTGGGAGTGCTCCTGGATGAATCTCTCCAAATGTCAGTCTAGGTATACGTGACAGTCAGGAGTGCTTACTACCAGCTTCAGCTGAAACAACTGCTGCAACACTTCCTAGATTTGAAGAACCTAAATATTAGCTGTCATTTAGCTGTCAGAGCTCTTCTGGAAGGTCGTTTCACTTTGTGCATGCACTGGTAACCTCAAGATTTAACTTCTGCAAGGCGTTTTTCATTGGACTATGCCTGAACCAAGTTTAAAAAATTTAATTAATTCAAAACATGTTACAGGGACAACTAGAAGTGAGTACATCACACCCATACTAAAGTCACTCCACCGGTTGGCAATTAGTTTCCAGGCCAAATACAAAGTATTGGGTTTAACCTTTAAAGCCCTACAAGGTTTGGGTCCATGCTACCTACAAGATCACCTTCTCCCATACAATCCACCCCAGACATTGAGGTCCTCTGAGGGGCAGCTACTCCAATCAGCCAGAACCCAACTGGCGACTAACTGATCTTTTCATCAGCTGCTCCACATTGTGAAACAACCTTCCGGAAGAGCTCTGATGGCCAAATGAGCTGTTAAAATGTAAGACACAACTAAAGACCCCTCTCTTCTGGCAGGCCTGTCAAGTCAATTTTCAGCCATGAATTTTAAATTTACATTATATTTGAAGTGTATTTTAATCTTTGTATCATGTAATGGTGATCCATGCAGTCATGCCGGCCACATGGCCTTGGAGGTGACTATGGACAACACCAGCTCTTCAGCTTAGAAATGGAAATGAGCACCAACCCCCAGAGTCAGACACGACTGGACTTACTGTCAGGTGAAAACATTTACCTTTACCTATCATGTATTTTAATATATATATTTCATAGTGATGTGTTTTAATATATGCATTTTATTGTATATATTTTATGATAACGGGTTTTGACTGTAGGGCACCCCACATCGAGCTGTGAGGAGAGGCTGGTAACAAATTAAATTTATTATTTAATATTATTTTCATTACTCAGCCACAGATCACATGTGAAGGTAGCACCAATGTTCCTCCAAGTCCTAAGGGGGCAGAATAATGTGCCGGTGCACTTCAGGGTCCTTGATTTCACTCAAGGCACTGACTGATGGTACCACAGAAAGCTGGAACATAGATGGTTTGGTCATCGAAATGATGGGACTGATACCTCTGAAAGGAAGAAAAAAGGTCCCTTTGAATATTTACAAAACACCAATACAGTGTTAAAGAAAATATTTTTCTCAGTTAATGCCAATATCCACTCTGGGACTTTTAAGAAGCAGGACTTGTCAATATTGTTTTCTTTGCTCAGACCTTCAGAGAGGTGGGAGGAATGACCTTAAGGACTTCTCATGTCCTCTGTGGTTTTTTGTTTGTTGGTTTGTTTTGAGCAGCAGCTGACATGAAAAGCTTCTGGTCTGGCCCTCCTTTGCATCTCTGAGGTGCTGTTGCTGAGTTCAGAGGTTTAGTATTTTGGCGAATTCTTTGCTGTTTTTTATTTTCTATGATAGAATCATAGAGTTGGAAAAGACCACATGGGCCATCTAGTCCAACCCCCTCTCATGCAGGAAAAGCACAATCAAAGTATCCCTGACAGATGACCATCCAGACTCTATTTAAAAGTTTCCAAAGAAGGAGCTCCCACAACACTCTGAGTTCCACTGTTGAACAGTTCATATGGTCAAGAAATTCTTCCTAATGTTCAGGTGGAATCTCCTTTCCTGTAATTTGAACACGTTGCTTCTAGTCCCGGTTTCAATGGCAGCAGAAAACAAGTCTGCTCCTTCTTATGGCATCAACCAAGTTCATCTGTCTGTCTGTCTGTCTGTCTGTCTACCTATCTATCCTCATTCTAAAATCACATCCCAATGGTGCAGTTCATATATTTACAAGCCCCTACCCCATCTACTCACTTCTGAGAGTAAGGAGGAGGAAGTGCAATAACTCTGGGCCGTGCTGTCAGCACCACTTCACCACGACTGGCTTCCACCAAAATGTTCTGGATGGTATTGTCCAGCACCATCTCAGTCAGATTTGCAAAAGCTGGCATCCTAAAGAGAAAGAACGTGACAGTTCCTATAGTTTTGAAATACTATAACAGGAGAGTATCTACTCACTTCCTTCTTTTCTAACCCAGCAGTCACCATGTTGGCAAATAACAAAGCTCAGATCTATAAAGCAAAGAAACAGTGGCCTAAAAATATCTCCAGTTACAGCTGAGTGGCTGCCTTTATATTTTTGTCAGGGAAGGTAGCTGCATCCCTTAACGACACCAGAATATGAACTTTTTGCCAAGAAGTGACAACTCCTGTTTAGAGATGCCCTTGCAACTAAATCACTAGCTCACCTGATGATGCATTCCTTCTGCTCACGGAACTGTTCCTTGCGAATAATTACACTTAGACTTTCCCGAGCATCCATAATCCCTCCAGGTGAGGCCTCTCCTCTGAAGTCTTCACTTTCCGTTCTACCCTTTGGGCTACCTTCAAGGGAAGGAGATGATATGGAGGTGCCCCCAGGACTGTGCCTCTGTTTAGCTGATTCTTCACACCAGAACTGACAGAAGTAGGGAATGGGCTCCACAAGGCTCCTGGTCACTGCTTCTTGAAACTGGGTCTCCTCCAACAAACCTCTGGAATATCAAGAGGGAATTGCCATTAGATTTAAAACATAAGGATGGCTCACCTTTATCCCCCAGTGGCGCAATGGGTTAAAGCCTTGTGCCAGCAGGACTGCTGACCAATAGGTCAATGGCTTGAATCCGGGGAGAGCAAGTTGAGCTCGCACTGTCATCTCCAGCTCCCCATGAGGGGACATGAGAGAAACCTCCCACAAGGATGGTAAAACATCAGGCATCTGGGCATCCCCTGGGCAATGTCCTTGCAGACGGCCAAGTCTCTCACACCAGAAGTGACCTGCAGTTTCTCAAGTCGCTACTGACACACACAAAAATCCCAACATTGCCCTCATCATTCAAAGCATGGCAGTAGAGATGTCGCTATGCCAGGTCTATGGCACTGAATTTTTTCTCAGGCATGAGGCAAATGTTGTGCAGATTAGTGTCCTAGCATTCTGGGCTCAAAATCTTTTATGTGCAATGCCTGGCAGCATGAGTGGGGAAAATACTATAAAAGTGTGTATGCCACTGGAGGTAGAAAAGTATGAAATATGAATTGAGAGCCTTTCCCAAAGACTCATTCTCAAAATCACACAGCCCATCTTGCAAAAATTAGTTGCAGTGAAATCTCATGAGGGGAATGTGAGAAAGTCTTGTGTCCAGTGTTCATATGGGCCAAAAAGGCCAAGCAAGAGATGCTTATTTTCCATCTACCCATAATGGATTGACTCCTCCTTTCCTGGAGGAGCCTGAACAAAGTAATGTTGATTGCAGTAAACCAGAGTAATGCAGTATACTTGGGCTGTGGGCCCCTAGTTTTAAAACCTTTCCCCCATGGGACTCACATCCTTGCCTTGGATGTTGCTGTCTTTCAGCCTGACCTTCCTGATAGGATTCTTTTTGAAACACAATGGGACAATCACTGCCTGACTACTTTGGAAGCAGAACAGGATACAAATGTGATATTTGTCCCATAACCACAGTATCTGAACCTCTATAGTACGGCAAGATATCAAATGAAGAAGTCACTTACTTGATCACTGTGGACAGCATGTCTGTTACCAGCTGGGCCTCCTCTTCTGTGCAGCTTCCTAGTTCTGACCAGCTTCTAGCTTTTGTAGGATATCTCTTGGTTTTGCTTCTGCCTAAAGATGCTGTATTTGTTGCATGGGTTCTTGTTGTCTTACTCTTAATCTGGCTGGAAAGAGAACAACAAGGGAAAGATAAATGTCTTTTCAAAATATGTACAAGTATTGCTTAAATCTGGAGTTAAGATGTTGTCCTTTAACTCAATTTCTTCAATGTTCTGTCATCACAGGCAAAGTGATCAAGGTTGTGGGATCAAGCCTTTGGCTAATAAATCATGCAGTACAAAGAATAATTAAGGAACATGTGCCATGACAATTTGGAATGGCTATGATATACAATTTCTGGATCATGGGATTGTAATGTTTATACTAGGAGGATTTTATGCTTTATCTGAATGTTTAAAATATGGATGTCTTATGTTTAATGGTTTTAATTGATTTTAAGTTAATAGTTATATGTAGTAATTAGTTACTATGAGTTCTTTGTGTACTTTATGTTGGCACTGATTTTTTTCCCATTAGTATGCTGTAAACCGCCTTGAGTCCCCAGGGGTGAGAAAGGCAGTGTATAAATAGAGTAAAAATTAATACAGTAAATACTGTAAATCTCAAAAATGGAATGAAAGTAATGAGATTGCTTTCTGTCAATAGTGCTTCGCATGTTGCCAGGCCAATCTGACTTTCAGGCAGAATGAGGCAATTGTCTCAAACAGCACATTTGTCATTGTTGTGTTTTGGAGTGATGAGAGTGCTTGTTGGATCTTCTGCCATGAGTCAGAATATGTTGACTGGATTTGGTATTATACATTTTGAATTAGGTGGAAAAGGGGTACCAATTGCAATGTCTGGTAAGAAAATGGCATGGGTTAGTCCTGGACTTTTATTTTCCAAATATACCATCTATACACGTATACAAGCTAATCCCATGTATAAGTTGAGGGCAAGTTTTGGGGAGCAAAATTATGGATTTTATATTACTCACAGAAAAGTTGAGGATCAGGAGAAAGCACCAGCACAAGTTAGTGTTTTCCACTTACATTACACTTGGAAGGAACTGCTGTTAGACACTAGTAACACAGGTGCCTAAATACCCCCAAGGTCCCGATCCCAACTCATTTTAAAAGCTAAGCAGGATCAATTTGGCTCAGGGATCCCCAATAAATATCAGGTGCTGCCAGCTATATTCCAGAGAAATAAATTGGCAAACATATTATTTGCAGAAGAAAAGCCCATATAATGCATGGTGTCATCGTAAGACATCAAGCAACTTGAAGGTGTGCACACACATATCCGGTGGTGAGCAAGAACAGAACTGAGATCTTCAAAGAACTGACTACAGAAAAAGGCTTACCGGAAGAGGAAATACTGGGGGAAGTCTTCAGGGTAGGTGGCCAAGAAATCATCAATTGGGTGAGACCTCGCCGTAACCCCTAAATGCATGAGGTAGGGCTTGGGGGGGTCTGGCTTGGCCCACAACATGCTGGCCTTTTTGTCCCTTAAGTGCCTCCTTTCACTTCGGCTGGCAGGGGGGTGAGGCACCTGGGGGTTCTTAATGGGGGGAAGAGTCTGTTGGGAAGAAATTATAAGAAGCTCTTCAACGAGTGGTTTGGTTCCCTCAGGAAGCTAACTTAACTGAACAAAATTGTCACACAGGAGTCCTATGCACAAGCTAAATGTGAAGAAAACAAGTGAGGTTATGCAAAAGAGAACTGAGAGGGATGTCTGCTTCATATGCAGATGTACCTCAGCTAACAACTCTAAGCTACGAAGGCTGTTTACTACTACTTCTACTACTACTACATACTAGTTTGTGTACAATATTTTTCCCACACTAAGATCCCTCTGATGCTGCAGGGAAACAGTAATAAATGCTATGGAACATATTGGACACAATTTCTGTTGTTAACATTCTATCACAAAAATTGTGAATTCTCTATCAAAATACTAACGGTGAAATGACCATCCCTGTAACTCTCTGTCTTATTATCATCCCGAGAGAGATTTCAGTTTCTTTCATTTCAGAGATTGTAGAGAACTTAATACCTTGTATTTCCTGATTTCCGAAAACACCTTAGAAGCCTTTTCTGATTCCTGGGAGTCTGAAACCCTCTAAGCAAAGAGAAAGAAATGGTAGCAATAGTTACAGAAGGAGGAATGTTATGGCTACACTGTTGGATAAAGTAAAGTACGGTCAGTCCCCGAGTTACAGACATCTGACATATATGACTCCTAGTTACGAACAAGGGTGAGACAACAGGAAGTGAGAGGAAATCTCCTTCTAGAAAAGGGCAATTCACTCCTGAAAGAGTTATCATGGGGGAAAAGTGTCTCAACTAGACCTTTATCACCAATCCTCCTTCTAAGTATACAGCAATTCATTGGAAGGGCTCCCACAAACAAGAGCTAATCAGGTTTGTGCAAGAGAACTTCCCAGATGTCTATGCCTCATGTTAACTGGCATGAAAGAGATTTTCCATCATGGGTGTACAATATGTCTTGGGTTGCCCCACAGAAGAATTCAGTTGCTTGTAGCATCCAAAAACTATTTCTGGCTGGATCTACACTACCAAATAATGTAATTAAACTGTATTCTGAAACTGCATTGTACAGCACTGTAGATGAGGCCTCTGTCTTTAGATTTCCTATGCACATTCAGAGAATATATGGAGGAAAACAACTCAGATGACTGGAAATACAATTTTTATGATTTTATTATATGTTGATTGTCAGAAATATTAAAAATTAACTAGGCATTTTTGGTTACAAAAATTTGAGTCAAGCACTGAAAGGGCTAAAATGATGCAGTGACTTAGAGAAGCTGCAGTTCAATATAAACAGGCGTGCCTGTTGCTTAGTAACATCTAATTCTGAGAGAGCTGTCAGTGTGAGAGAAGCCCCTCTGTGTGAGAGATCACCTCAGTGGAAAGATAGGCCTCATTGTTAGTAGGCCTGATTGTGAGGTAGGCCTTGGTATGAGAAAGCCTTGTGTGTAAAGCTCTAGTGTGAAGGCTGAACTTTATTTGTGTTATGCAAACCTTGTTTTTGTAAATAGGGCAACCATATTATTATGTTATAAAGAAAATATTATTATGTGCCTACTGCTTAGAAATTTTAATGCAAATTATTCAAAATAATAAGCCAGTTACTGGAAATACAGGGAATATCCTGTGAACATCCAAAAATGAAATTTCAAGTCACACATTTGAACACGTCTGTATGTGGCCATTGTGCCAGTAAGGAATAGAACGTTATTTATTAGATACTGACTAGCTTCATATGATGCAACAGTTTTGAGAACAGATGAGTAAACAAGGTCTAGTGCTTGTGCCTCACTTCTAAATTATCTGGCAAGACAATACTCCTTACCTTTGAGGGTTCTTTTAGATTCTTCTTTGTATTTAAGTCTTTCTCTGTAATGGTGAATTCCACAGCCTGCCGTGCCTTCTCATTTTCCCATTCCTTCATCTCCTTCTCATACTGATCTAGTGGGTGCTGAGTAAAAATCTACAGGGGGAAAAATTCTACAATTACTGCAGCACTCTAAGAGTTTGCACTCTTGTTCCTTTTCTTCTTCAATGCTATCAGAGCACAGGCAGAATTTTGCCTGTCTCCTGATAAATTAGATGCTTCCCAATTGAATCTGGTAAGCCAACTTAATGGAATTTTAGCTTTTATGGTTGATGTCAAGGCTTCTGATATGTAATATATTCAAGCAGTGTCCCTGTATCTGAGTGGTGAAGAAAATATTGTCTCAAACTATTGTCTCCAATACAGATCCTCACCTCACAGATCAAATCCACATTGTAGAAGCATGGGCTCTCACTGGCATGCAGTGTGAGAACACATTGGATGCTCTCTCCAGCTTGCACAACTCCACTTTCTGGACTGATGTTCAATACCTTGGAGAGAAAAAGCAACACATCATTGTATATTCAGCAATGCATTGTGCTTCCACATCAAATGCCCCAGACATTCAAACTATTAGGAGAGGAGGGCATGTGCATTGTGGCACTTGAACATTTCAATGGGAGAAGCCACAACATTAGAAAACAGGCCAAATCCAAGTGTCACACTGAATCAGTGGAACTTAGAAACTTACCAAGCTCCTATTGATGCAGTAGCTTATTCTCGTTGGAACTAACAACTAGATTTAGATCTGTGTATGTGTGTACAACGGATTAGGCCTTTTCAACCTGCAGCCCTTCACATGTTTTGTGTCTCCAGTTCCCAGAGGTCCTAGCCAGCTTGTTCAATGGTCAGGAATTCTGGGAGCTGAAGTTTAAAACACTTGGAGGGCTGCAGGTGTAAGAGGCTTGCAATAGATCGTTGCAGCTGGTATGTATTCAGAAACTGTTAATGTGAATCCAGAAACCGTTGTGCCCTTATTCTAATTATGCCGCAATCCTATTCAGAAGTCTAGTTTGCAGATTGGTAGTTTCTGAGTCAAGAACTGGGTAAGCTACCAGCCCAAGATGGCGTTGCACTCTTACAACCATGACTGTCACAGGAGACCCTGGAGTACTTACTGGGTTGGTGGCCTAAGGCCAGCTCAGACTAGTCTGCCAGCTACAGCCTTCTGTGGAGAGGGATAACTTGGCCATAGAGTCTATTCACTGAGTCTGTGTAATTTCCCATTGCATTCTACGAGGGGTGCCCTTGAAAATTAGTCGGAAACTGCAGCTGCTGCAAAATGCTACAGTGGAATTGCTGACAGGAACATAATACAGAAGCCACATTACATCAGTTTGAATATGTTTCTAATTTGAATTCAAGGTGCTTGAAATGACATTTAAAGCTTAAGATTCAAGGTCTGCCAGAGGGACCCTCCTCTGTGTCCCATCAGACAGAGCATATATGGGAAACGGCCTTCTTGACTGGAGTACTACACTTATGGAACTCCCCCACTGGATGCTGTTGGATGCACCTAATAAAAATATAGTTGTTCATGAAAGCTTTGGAAGCCTTCTTTTGTTCTTTTAGAGTATATTCTGCCATTCCCGGAGAAGTTGCAAATTAATTAATTGGTTTTACAAAATAAAACCCTCTTACATCTTATTTCAATTCATTTAAAACTATTTTAAGCTGTCTTTTAATTTGCCAGTTGTTTATGATGCTTTTGGGGCCCCTGGTGGCACAGTGGGTTAAACCTCTGAACTGAACTTCCTGATCTAAAGGTTGGTGGTTCGAATCTGCGGAGCATGGTGAGCTCACACTGTTAGCTCCAGCTTCTGCCACTCTAGCAGTTTGAAAACATGCAGATGTGAGTAGATCAATAGGTATTGCCTTAGCAGGAAGGTAATGGCACTCCATGAAGTCATGCTGGCCACATGACCTTGGAGGCATCTATGGACAACGCCGGCTCTTTGGCTTAGAAATGGAGATGAGTACCACCCCTCAGAGTCGGACATGACTAGACTTAATATCAAGGGGAAACCTTTACCTTTTTTTACTATGCTTTTAGACTTTAAAAATGGGATTTTAATTTTAGACTTGTCAGATTTATTGTACAACATTCTGAGGTCTTTGGATAAAGCACAAGATATAAATATTTAAATAAAGCGTCTAATAAGAATTACAGTAAGCCAGTTTGCCAGCTATCCTGTCATAGTCAGACTAGAAAGACTAGAAAGCTTTGAAGGAGACAGATGAGCTTGGAGATCACCAAGGAAAACCAAAAGCAGTGAAACAGATGGAGCTTACCACCATGGAATTTGAAGTGCCAGCGTGCCAAGCAAAAATGATAGCCTCATTTTCAGAGGCATTGTTGAGAAAGAAAAGGCGGCTGCATTTGCTGTAGACTGGGATGTTGCCAAGACAAATCCGAGGCTGTGATAAGTACACTGTCTGCAAAGAAAACAAATAGTTGGTGATCCCCTAGGTTAACTGGTTGGGAGCCTTTTTCTTTCTGACCCTCTGAATGGAACAAACCGAGCTAACCCTCAAGTGATACCTAGTGTCAGCAGTGAATGGCAATTCATGCATGTACTACCATATGTATGAAACTTCATTTTAAAACAAAGTCATACAAAAAAAATCATTGTCCAGTTCAAGAAGGAGCATAAACTTTACGAGCATCCTGTCTGATAAACAGTATCTTAAATACAGATGCTATCTCATGTTATCAACTCTTTCCCACTGAGAGACAGTAACATAGAAAGATGGAGTAAAAAGAGAATTGATGTAAGAGAAGTGAAAGGTTTAGCTGAATTATCCGAAGCTTCACACAGACAGCTCAATTTGAAATTCTATGCTCACTAAAATGTGTAAAAACATTGGCAATTTTGATAAGAAGAGGTGGAATTGCCAACTTATTATCACTTAGAGTCACGATAAATATGCTGTCAAAGAAGAGCTGAAACCTCACAAAAAGAATAAATTTGTGAGCCTCAAAATAATGCTCCATATGGTTATATTCAAATCTTCCCTGCTACCAAATATTTTGGGGTTTCTTTGTCTGTAGTCTAGTAAATGGGTTTTGCATGTTTCAAGTGCACCAAAATTTCAATAACTTGAATGCTTCCACATTGTGAAACCTCCAGCTATGGCACTGACCCTCATATTGCAGGCATTTGGAGCTTTTTGAAACAGGCATCACACCTTATCTGCAATGCCTTTAGATGTCCCTAAGATGCTATTGAAGGACCACAGTATGTCATTACAGTTGCCCTCTCTTAAAATACTGGTCAGACCAGTAACTTTCAACACTTACCAGACCAGGCACTGTTAATTTAGCAGAGACTGGTGTTGTTGTAGAAGACACCACTTTGTCAAACTGTGCTGTCTCTCCCATAACAGAGGGATCAAAACCTATTCCTTGGAAGGTAATCAGAGCAGAGTCCCCTTCGACGATGTGAATGGGCACCTCCACCTAGACAGAGAAAGAAAGAGAAGAAATGTGGAAGAATGTTGCTTTGTGGGTTACATTTTGGCATTTACCAAGAACTGCTCTTTTTTGGAATGCAACAGCTATAATTAGATATCATAAATGATTAAACCCTTCATCTAGTCGCTGTCTTGGTAATAGATCTCTCTGGCTCTTTTAATTTTTTTCAAGTGTCAAAGAGCAAGGGCATCTCAGGTCAGCACACAAGCAGTTTTTTATGCCCTCTTCTTATTCCACATGGAAGTGCTTGTTCCTGAAGACAACAGCCTTACCGAGTACATTTTTGCTTCCAATGGAGAAAATATCCATTCAGTATGGGCTGTTAAGCCTGGCCCAATCTCTCCTCTTGGATTTAGACAGGTAAACACTGCATGCTGGTAATTCTGTTCTTGTACTTTCGTCAGAGCATCCACCTGGATTTCATACACAGCAATTGTGGAACCTCCATTGTACAGTTCATAGATCTGGAAGAAGAGTTAAGCCAGAATAATTTACTGTACTAGGTAAGAACTGGGCAACTCACACATACCACAAACATCTCTGCTTGGCATGGCTCCTTTTTGATCATAATCCAAGCAGTCCCTTCTAAAAGCTTTACAACTACATTCTGCTGGAAGGGTTATTTAGATAATCTTAGTGTTACTCCCCATTATAATTCAAATGCTGTTTGTCAAAGCAGGAAGACTGAGAGGGTTCCAAGCATTTCATTATTTTGTATGATTTGATGTGTCTGTACCTACTTTGAGGCATTGAATATTTGCCTTTTTACATGTAAACCGCCCTGAGTCCTTCCAGGGAGAAAGGGTGATCTAAAAATATGTTGTTGTTGTTGTTGTTGTTGTTGTTTGAAACACAACAAGAAGAGTCCACAGCAAACAAGATCACTCTGCTGGCTGTTGTATTGGATCACACATTGGACACTTCCCAAGTGTCTAGGACTGTGTGATGTATTGGTGAATAGTGCATGCAGATCCCAGTAAGATAGCCTTTTGCGGCTGACAGATGGTAATTTTGTCAGTGCCGATATGTTTAAGTGCAGGCCAAAGTCTTGTGTTTAAGTGCAGGCCACCCAGTGTGCTGATCACCATTGGGACGATCTTTACTGGCTTGTGCCAGAGTCTTTGCAGTTCAATCTTAAAATCCTCATATCACATCAACGATCCATACTGTGTTTTTTAACACGATTGTGAGGTCAGGAGTATTGTGCTCCAAAACTCTGTCAGTCTGAACTAGGAAGTCCCAGAGTAGTTTGACGTGTTCATTCTCTGTAACTTTTTCAGGCTTGTGATCCCACCAGTTCTTTGTTGCAGGCAGATGGTATTTGTGGCACAAGTTCCAATTAATCATCTGAGCAACAGTGATATGCCTCTGCTTGTAGTCTATCTGCGTGATCTTCTTGCAGCAGCTGAGGATGTGATCTATTGTTTCATCTGCTTCCTTGCAGAGCCTACACTTGGGATTTGTTGTTGACTTTTCAATTCTGGCTTTGATGGCATTTGTTCTAATGGCTTGTTCTTGGGCTGCCAGAATCAGGCCCTCCTTTTTCAAAGTTCCATTTGTGAGCCACATCCCTGTTTTTTCTTTGTCTATTTTGTTCTCAATTTTTCCCAGGAACTGTCAATGGAGAGCCTTCTTTTGCCAGTTTTCTCTTCTGATCTGCATTGTATTTTTACAGTATTCACTCTTTGTCTTTTGCACTTGAGGCAGTTTTCTACTATTGACTTTCTTCAATGTTAGTTCTTGACTGCCTTTCACATAATCTGCCAATGCATGTTTCTCTTCTTCTACAGTTTGTTTCACTTGAAGAAGCCCTTGCCTCCTGATTTTCTGGGCATTATTATTATTATTTCCCTAGCATGGGCAGATGGGTACTGCCTAATCCTGCAGGGCAATGCCTCAAGCCAAATCTGAAATTTTGCATATCAAGTCAAATGCAGGGTTGCAGGGGTAATTATTTTAAAAAGAACCAACAGAAGAAAAGTACACCTTTTAACCATTCTAGGCCCTGCCACTTATACAATGCAAATGCTACTCCAGCAGTGTGCACATGCATACACACCCAAACACACACATTATTTCTGATATCTGGGGAAAAAAACATCTTAAGGTGTGATAACTTAAGGGTCAATTAGTAAGTGATAAATAAACATAAATAATAAACATTATTTGTATACCACTCTATCTCCCCGAGGGGACTCAGGGCAGTTTCCAACATAGGTAAAATATTCAATTGCTGAATGACACAAAACCATACAAAAATAAACATTATAAAAACATGAACATAAATCCTATAAAAAGCAATCACAAACATTTAAAACCAGTATCAGAATTTCTCCATCAAGTGATAAATTGTTACATCCACCCAATCTAAGAACCTACCCTTCCCTGCAAATTCCTCCATGCCTGAATTAGCTTTGTTAAGCAATTGTGCTAGAAAGCCTGTTTGCCTGATTGTTACCATTCTCACATAACCTGCTCCCTGTCTCCATCACAGCATGATGCTTCTCCAGCAGGAAGTCACCCTAGATTTCAATAGCTTCTGGCCATTTGGTTCCTCTTTCTCATTCCAACACGGTTAGCTTTTGGTTTTTAATGTCTCACCTGTTTGGGAGGATCATAGGTGCCAATAGCAATGGGTGTGAATATATGTTTGGTTGAAGTGAAGTGAATATAGCGGCACTCTGGCTTCAGTGTCACACCAATAAAATTCAGCTGCAGGTGCAAAATAAGAAAAGATGGGAAGGGAAAGGACAGGCTGTAGCATATCAGAACCACCCAGTTAACCAACATACAAGTGTTTACATCAACCCCATAGGTAAATCAGAGAGAAGTGTATCAGCGTGAAAGGAAGAGCTGTGAGCTTCATTTGGAAAAAAAAAAGTAATAGAATAATTACACCTTCAGTAAACACTGTTGGTCATCTTCAAGGATTCTCTTCAGTAAAACCCTTGCAGAAAAAAAATTCTGGGAAATTCCCTTAAGGGCTTCCTGCCACCTGGCTAACGAGGATGCATGCCTTCTACCAGTCAGGAACCTTGCACATATCCCCTCCCAAACTGGGCAGCCATCAAGACCTGTGCCAAATGAGCTGAGCCAAAAGAGTCCATCCAAAGGCTTTGCATAAAAGAACAGCTAAGCCAGTGTTTTTACAGCCTGTTCAATAAACTGGATTTTTAGCTGACAATGGTCCCTACAGGGAGGGAAAGAATAAAAATAAAAGGATGCTGGGAACACAGTAGTTTCACAGGAAATCTTGGGAGGGCATTGAGAACCAGCAAAGGTTCAGTGGGGCATGAGAGAGGTGCCTACCGAAGCATAAGGGGAATTTGAATAACTGGCAAGTTAAGAGAGGGCTGGGCTGGGCTGGGCTGGGCTGGGCTGGGCTGGGCTGGGCTGGGCTGGGCTGGGCTGGGCTGGGCTGGGGGGGCTAGGAAAAGCCACTGAGATGTATAGTTGAGATCAACCAAATGATGCCAATCCTAAAGGTGTAAACAGCCATCTAGAGTAAGTAGTACTATGAACAAGCTATGTCCATGAAAGAGTTCAGAGATATCTCTCAGCAATTTGCTGCTCTTTTTCTGTCATGATCTCTTGCTTTCAAGATGCCACTGAATCTTCATGGAGTCTCTCTTCAGTGCTTACACTCTAAGATTTAGGTCCGCACCTTACTGTGCTTCTAAATCCAAAGACGCTGTGCAGCTATTCTGTATTTTTCTCCTTAGCATATTTCTAGTATTTTTTAATGGAAGAAACTATGGAAATCATGAAAGATTACAAATTGAAGATACTATCTGTATGTCCTGTGAAATTCATGATTGAGGCGATATAACTGCAAAGTAAAAGCCTCACTTGGAAGAAGCTCTTATGGGCCTACAGTTTCCCACCTCACATAGTTTACTTCAGTTGTGAAGTATGCATTAAGTATTTCTCACAATCACCACCACCATTTCATGCTTTACAACTGTGTTCAAAATGTGTTATAGTAAAAACAACATTTAGCATCCTTGATAATATGGTTTTAAAACACAAAGCAATTTTAAGATGAGATCAGTAATCATGAACATAAATCTCTCCATGGCTAACTTTGTGGCAAAGTCAGCTGCAGTCCAAAAAGGTGAATACAAAATAAAGCATGTTGCCTTTCAAAGTGGCACAAGGCATACTGACATGGCTCCCCGAGTAGATAATGTTTGTGTAGAACTGAATTGCAGTTATACAAGACAAAAGGTAGGCACCCTATATAGGCTTACATGCATTAATTGTGTTAATTTACTGTACATATAGCAGCTTGTTAAACATAAAACAACACTGAACCATCTGCACATCTTATTTCTGCAGGGCTATCATCTAGTCCTCCTTAATTCCTTCTTTCCAACTCTACTTCTTTCTTGGATTCCAACTCTAGTCATATTTATCTGTAAATCCCACATAACCCATGCAGAGTACCTCCACAATGTAAATAACCTGCAGGTAAGTGTCTGGTATTTTTCAAATACTGCCTTTGGAGAGAAGAACCTAAGATTCGCCAATTTTTCAGTAACCTGGTGGTAAATACTTAGTGTCAGGCTACTAGGAAAAACGATGTATGGTCAGGAAAAGAGCAGGGAGGGCAACCTAAATTTCAGAGCTTGGATGTAATAAATCATAAAAGTTAAAGTCATCTGTTGTGCTTCTTTCATAGGTAATGAAATTATATAAAAGTAATTGAACAGGTGAGAATGAAGTTATTTTATTGGTCAAGGAATGATTTCAAATTCTTTTTAGGTGCATTGTTGAGGCACTTTGACAGGAATGTTTCAGGCTTTGTGCTATTTTCTGATTTAAAAAACCATAAAGAGAAAACAGCAAGCAATGCCTTAAGTTATGTTATAAAGAGTAAATGATGGTGATTTGTTCTAATTTGATCACTACTTATCCTGTACTGAATAAGGGCATTAGTGGGCATGGAGCTATAGATCTTGGGTACATTATGGAGAGGGACACAAGATGGCCATTTCAGCAGTACAACATCTCCTCCTGCTACACCTGTATTATGGTTAGGTGCCTGCTTTTGGACAGTGTTTCTCAAACTCTGCTCCTCCAGGTATTTTGAACTTCAGCTCCCAGAAATCCCTGACAGCTTACCAGCTGTTAGGAATTGTGGTAGGTGAAGTCCAAAACACCTGAAAGAGCAGAGTTTGAGGGTCCATCCAGACAGGGCCCATATCCCAGGCCATTTAGCATTTTTACTGGAGGCATTCAAACAACACCTCCAGTAAAGAAGGATTAATTCAAGACAAAGCAGTAAAATCCTGCTTTATCCCAAATTGATAGCCCATTAGACCAGGCCTGTAGCGAGGGGGTAGTTTTAGGGGTTCAACCCCCCCCCCCGAAATGTTTCAGATTTTTTATAAAAAACCTGGTTTACTCATGAATTTTAACTGGTTAACCAAATCCTCATGCTAAGTCTATGAGATGCAAAAAATTAAGAGTCCCTCCAGAACTGCAAGCACTATCTCAAGCAAATATTGACAATTTATTCACACTGTCATTACTTGCAGCAATAGCCGATGTAGTGAAGCAACCAAGTTGGGTGTGTGTGTTGAATGCTCTCATTAAGGAGGCCAGACTTGGTGGAGGTGGTTGACAGGAGTTGAGCTGCAGGCTATTGAAGGTTACTCTGCCCCCTGCTGTGCTCTTTTTTCAGCTAGGAGGCAGGTTTCAATCCCCCCTCCCCCAAAATTTTCAACCTTCCCCGAAATTTTTAACCCCCCCAAAATTTTCATCCTCCCCCCCCCCTCCCAAAATTGTCAACCCTCCCCGAAATTTTTTTCTGGCTACGGCCCTGCATTAGACCCATGCCTTTGTGAAAGGCCTAGCTCTAATGGGCTATGGGCCCTGTGTGGACAGGCCCACGGGAAGTCCTGGGACTCTCTGGGGGCCTGTCCATGCATCCATCTCATACCTTTTGGACTGCTGGAGCCCAGAGATGCAAGAAAGCCTCTGCCCCCCATCCCCCCCCCCCAAAAAAAAACCTCAAAAATAAAAAGGATAGTCACCAGGAGCCATTTGGCTTCGTCTCCTATCTGAAGGAACATACCAATAACGCCAAAAAGAAGGGGAACCCCAAATCCCTCCTGACTCCTTTTTATTTTTGAGGGAGGTGGGGGTTGGATGGGCACATGTCATCCCAAAAATATTTGGGATACCATGTGGATATCCAATGGGCAGAGCCCATGTTTCCCCCCAGGCATGTGTGTATTTAAACCCCCTTTGGAGCAGGTTTCTTAAACCCGTTACAAAGTGGATTTAATGTATGTGTGGAACTTCAGTATTCCCTAAAGCTTGAGAAACACTGCTTTAGGGAATACTTTCCATAAAATGGAAAGTATAAAATGAGAAGGGGCTGGATTGCATGTTCTAGATTACTCATATGCCTGGCTCTCAATGGTAACAATGCCTGAACATCTCTACCCAAAATCATACCAGAATTTCTCGACCATGAGAAACCTTCAGCAAGACTGGAAGCCGGTCAGTGCCAATGAAATCATGTCTGGCAAGGGAAAATAAATGTGCATATCAGAAACAAACACAGATGAAATCATTCCAAACGTTGAGCTGGAGAATCCTATCTCAAACAATAGATTAGGGACAACTGATTTCCCTGCTAAAGAGCTGCAGTGTTGCATAAAGAGCCTCCCGGGCACAAGGACTGCCAAGTCTGGATGGGAAAGAACAATGCAAAACCCATTTAGAATTTACATCAATGCCATGTTCCAAATACAGGACATTCAAAATGAATTTAGAAGAGAGCAATATTGTGACATATTCTGGAACCCAGAATATGTCAGAGTTGGGGCAAAGAGTCCTTGCTCTGCCTGAGTTTCATACTTACAGAAGGCCTATAACAGTGCCCCAACACAGAAGATACTGTACATAGTGGATGCTGTGCTGATGGGTCCTAGTTAGAACAGAAACAGCCTGACATGTCAATTAAAGATCACTTTTCATACAGATAAGGAAGAAAGGAGTGTTTGTAGCTACCTGTGGGATAAATATATGGTTTGCTCTTCACCGGGAAGAAGCTTTCTTGCCTTGGGAGAGACAGTAAAAAGCTGGTTATCCTGGATTCGCATCTGGTGCAACTCACTGGGGTCAAACTCTGCACTTTCTGCCCAGTATTCCACATCAATCTTCTGGTCAGAAGGAAACAGAAAGGCCCTAGAAGACAGGCAGTGGAAGACAAAAAGGAATTACAATTAAACAAAGAATTAGAATTAATTAGTTACAATACTTTACAATTAGAAAGCAAAGTGAATAAAGAGATGATGACCAGTAGAGCTGCATGCTTGGCAATCATGAGCAGTGCTTCATATACAGGCAGTTACAGACAAGCTAGGTTCTGTAAGTTTGTTCTTAAGCTGAATTTGTATGTAAATTGGAACACGTACAATTTTGTGGGATTGGTGACAAAGCTTCAGTGGAGACACCTTTTTCCCATGCTAACGCTTACAGGAGTTAATTTCCCTTCCGAGGGGTAGATTTCCTCTCATTTCCTGATGTCCCGCCCCCATTTGTAACTATGACTTGTACATAAGCCAGATGTTTATAACCTAGGGACCGTCTGTACTTGGTGCCTTAAAAAAACACAGTTTTGGCAGCCTATATAAATTATGAAAACTTTGTATGTTTTGTCTTGTTTTGCAAAATTCTGCAGTGTTTACTGCTTTCTCCAAATGGTTGTGGTTCTGCTAGTTGAGGAGAGAAGCAAGGAGCTTTTTAGTTAGTGGAGCATCACGCCAGAGCAGGGTAGTTTAGCCTTATTTTTGGCTTCTGAAAATTCAGTAGACATTGGGTATACTTGCAAGATCTTTGCAGCTGTATAGGCCACAAATGTGCTTTCCATAAAATGAGATAACAAGCACAGTCTGCATTCCTTACAACTCCTGATTACAATATACATTTTTTGTTATGAGCAGAGTAGGCGAAGGAATCACAAGAAATGTAAGAATCCTACTAGTAATACAAACAGATTTAGTTTATCTGCATACCTTTTATCCAAATGTATGGGAAATAGAATTTCACTTTCACTGCAAATTTTCCAGACATCATGTTTTCACTATGAGGATACTTGTATGTGCTCTAACTTGTATGTGCTCCAAGGCTACCCCAGTTCCTGAAATAGCACCCTTGATAGTGTTAAGATTCTCACTACCTGCTCGCAGAAGAAAAACATGAAACTACAGGACTATTAGAGCAATTCCCTGGTGAGAAACAATGAGGCGCTAACTCACCAGCTCACAGGTATTGTCCCGTTGTTTTGAAGCATCAGCACAACCACAGAAGGGGCACATCCAACAGGAGCTGCACCAAAATTGAAATCCAGCATGACAGGAGTGTAGACTGGGGGGATCCGCTCAACACTGCACGTTGGAAGGAAATGAAAGGTTAATAAACTGATTGAGGAAATGTTCCCTGGTGAGGCTTTAAATACTAGAAACTACTTTTCCCAATGCATTGTTTGCCAGAGAAGGACAGGGAAGGAACGTGTCATTTTAGAAGACCAAAGATTTATACCTGTGCCTTGTAGGGACTCTAAAAGTGAGCTCCTGGGGTGTTGGCTCTCGTTCCAGGTACTGGTTCAGAGTATCCAAAGAGAAAAGTCTCCAGAGGTGCAGCTTGCTGATACCACGGGCACTGCCTGTGCCACAAGCATCAGTGATACAGATAGACGGATATATGCCTGATGCTGTTACACAGCAAACGGATCGCTTTTCCCCAACAGGTGTTGTGGCTTGGGTGAAGATAACAACACGCAAATGAATAAATGAAGGCAACAGACTTAGTAGTTATGACTTCATTGATAAAAATTAAGACACCTCCAGACAGTAATTGGGTAGTGTAATAAAAATCTTTCCCCAGTTGCTTGCAGTCCACGGTTTGGATCCTGTCTATTTACATGACCACATCTCTCTTTATGAACCTGTACAGGCTCTAAGATCAGCCAGGGAGGCCCTGCTCTCGATCCCACCTCCCTCACAAGTGAGGTTGGTAGAGACGAGGGAGAGAGCCTTCTCGGCAGTGGACTCCTGACTTTGGAATGCCCTCCCCAGGGAAATCAGACAAGCACCCACCCTTGTAACATTCAGGAAAGAATTGAAACCTGGGCTGTTTAAGCAGGCTTTTAATAATGGCTAAAAGTATCAACCACCCTATTGGACAGAATTTTTAATGGTTATTAAAATTATAATTTATAGCCTGGATACTCCGATCATAGGAATGGCTGGTTGTAAATGGCATTGCATACTGATTTTAGAGAGCCTCGTAGTCTTTTAAATTATTTATTTATTTATGTATGTATGTTTACAGTACTGTTATACGTTTTATTAATTGATATGTGATTATTGTCTGTGTTAGATTATTTATTGTATTTGTTTGTTTTGCTGTAAGCTATCCGAGTCCCTCCAGAGAGAAGGGGCGGGATATAAATAAAGTTATTATTATTATTATTATTATTATTATTATTATTTCCTCAAAGCAGTATTTCAGATGGAGGAACAATGCATTTTTCTAGCACTTAAATAACAGTATGCACATTCCTAAGGAAGATGTTTCTGAGAGAGCTCTCCGGGACAACACATGCTTGAAAAGAGCAGCCTTTAAATGGAGATGCTTGAGATTTGTTAGACAAAGACATAGGACAAGCCATACAAGATGGCAAACTGATAAAAGCATTTATACCACTGAAGGAAACCATTCACTTTATTTATTTACTGTATTTATATACTGCCTTTCTCACCCCTGGGGGGACTCAAGGGGTGAGAACATACATACCCAGGGCAAAAATTCAATGCCAACATACAGTACAGTGTTCCCTCACTTATTGCGGGGGTTCCGTTCCAGGACCCCCCACAATAAGTGAAAATCCACAAAGTAGGGATGCCATATTAATTTTAATATTTATACATTATTTTATATATTATTTTCTTACTCACACTTCCTTACCCGCCTCCTGGCCCATCCCAAGGGCGCCTGCCTGCCTCCCTGGCCTCTGCAGACCCCTGCAAAGCCTCTGCAGCCATGCAGGCAGCAGCAGGCCAGGGAGGCAGGCCTTCCTCACGGCGCCTCAGGCCACCACACTTCCAGAGGCCCTGGCCTCCACTGGACATAAATATTTTATATTATATATTTTTATTAATATTTTCAAAAACCCGCAAAACAGTGAGTCCACTAAAAGCGAACCACTGAGTAGCAAGGGAACACTGTACACAGAGAAATCATAACTAATTACTACATATAACTATGAACTTAAAATCAATTAAAACCATTAAACAAAAGACATACATAAAATTTAAACATTCAGACAAAGAATAAAATCATCCTAGTATAAACGTTAAAATCCAATGATCCAGAAATCGTATACCATAGCCATTCCAAATCATCACTGCACATGTTCCTTAATTATTCTTTGCACTGCATTACTTATTAGACAAAGGGCTTGAACCCACAACCTTGATCACTTTGCCTGTGATCTCCATAACACCAGCTCATTCTGCCTGCCAATTCCCCTGCACCAGCCACTTTCCATTATGAGTGAATAGCACAAGGCTACTTCCCTCTCAAACCAGTCTACTGTTTGTAGATAGTTTATCACAATATTATCAGTGAACCAGACACTGCCACAAAGGTTTCATTACTGCCAAAGATAAAATGAGGCTTTAAAAAACTTCATGACCCTAGAGAAATGAGGAAGCAGACCAGCCTTAAAAAGCTTATGCTACCAACTTCCTTTTCTCTGTTTGTCTCAAAGGTGATACAAGATCGCTTAGCATTTTGTTCACTTGTGAGGGAAAGGAAAGTATGGATGCTAGTACCAGGCATTCAGTTGAGATGGCTAGAATAGAGGGTGGTAAGCAGTAAAAAAAATCCCTTTTTAATTCACACTCCCAAAAACACCCTTAAATTCCACTGACTGTGTACTATTTTGCCCAGTGTAGTATCTCCCCCTTCCCTACTCTATATAATAAGTTTGTTTGTGAAGGCTGCCCTCTTACCGTTGGGAGTAGAAATGACATAACTGATTGTCCAGGCGTAGTGCAGTTGGCGGGCTGGTTTAAGAGTTGCTCGCAAAAAGATCTTACCCCGAGCAGCAACTATTCCTTTGTAGTGGTCAAGAGTGATTGCTTAGGAGAGAGGCAAAAGAGATCAGTGTAAGCATGGAAGGAAGTCTTCATTGTGCTATGAAGCACAAAAAATCTGCACTTCCTTTAAATACCTAAGGGGTCACTGGCAACTTCTTCTGGGTCACATGGTCCCGTGATCATCTGCTCTACATTGAGAACATACTGTAAGGAGCAGGCCCCATTATTAAATAATCTCACTTCACAAGACTGTGTGCTGCCAACCAGGATGTTGCCAACATCCACCTGTTCTTCTTGTGCCTGCAACCAAAATGTAACAGAAATGAGGTCCATGAAGTAATACAGACTGTAGGTATGCCATCCAAAGAAACTGGTATTCAGAGAAAATTGCAGATGATAAGGACAAGCAAGTAATCTCAGTCAGGTTAATATTCAACCCAGGCTATCAGGGAGAGGCTTTGAAGCAACACTAATTGGGAGGACACATAATCACTCGAGTCCAGGCCCTCACAAATGCCAAGGTGTCATCAGGTGTATAAACACTGTAGTTTTACAGTTTGCATTCTGCCCTCTTCTAACATGGTCAAACCATCTAGTGCCCTGAATGGCATAACTTACTGTTAAAGTGCCAAATGATCCCTCTCCAATCACCCGCAGGATATAGCGGGTGCTCTCTGAGGTCTTGTCGTTTGGTGGATCTTGTTCTCTCCACACTGTCACCCAACTTCGCAGAAGATATTTGGTCTGCTCACTAGGAGTGAAGGTCCAAGTTTGGGCCTGAAATCACACATAGAAGATCCCGAGAAAGAGCCAGAGCACTCTGCCTTTCAGGGATGCAAAATCTGAATTAATATGTTATTAAAGAAAGATACAGAGGACCACCTCCAAACAAACTGTTTTTTTTTTCTCACACTGCCTATGCCTTCCCTCATTCTCACATCCAGAACTACATTATCAATCATTTGACAGCATGTATTTAGAAAGACTCTTGTCAATGGAAGGAGGAGAGCCACCCATTATATTACACAGAATAAAGCAACCACTTCAGGCAACAGATTTTGAAGGTTAGGAAGGCCGAGAAAGGGGGCAAGACAGGCCTCAATTGCTGGGACAGTAAAAACAGTTGAAACTGGAATTATTTTTTATTAACCTTGTTTTAAAGAAGACGCTACTACCTTTCCTTGTAATTGTCCTACTCACCAAAGCTTCATTGGGTAATATTGTCCCCTCAGCAGGCTGGACAGACAGGAACCTTTTATCCAACTGCTGAATTTTCCACCTGAAGAGCATGGGCAAGCGGGTGCAGTTTTTGATGGTGAAGGTACGTGAGGAAAAGGTGCCCACACAGGTGGGTTTGAAGTACAGGTTGCCATCACTTTCTAAGAGGAGGACTAGGGGCTCAGCCCTACTCTTAAGGTGGATCTCCTGAGGAAGAAACATCAGCAGGATTCTTCAGCCAAAGCTGACAGTTACAGTGCTTTCACAGGAAAGTTGAGCTGGCTCCTAAGCTGGCATGGACATGCCTGGAAAGAACTGGGATAACATGAGAAGGAGGCACAAGGGAAATGTTTCCAAAATAAATGATTAATTTGTGTAGTTCCAGAAATGTCATTTAAGAAACACAACTTTCAACTGCAAAGCAAATTGAAAGTATCCCTATCACATCATCTGCCCCCACAGAGGCCTTGCGATGGAAGACTCTGGCATCCTGCTACATTTCACTTCCCTATTCCTGTCTAGAACATTAAACATCATCATTATCTTCATCATCGGTAAAAGTTAAAGGTTTTCCCCTGACATTAAGTCTAGTTGTGTCCAACTCTGGAGGTGGTGCTCATCTCCATTTCTAAGTCGAAGAGCCGGCATTGTCCATAGATGTCTCTAAGGTCATGTGGCCAGCGCTGTTACCTTCCCGCAGAAATGGTACCTATTGATCTACTCACATTTGCATGTTTTCAAACTGCTAGGTTAGCAGAAGCTAGGGCTAATAGCAGGAGCTCACCCTGCTCCCTGGATTCAAACCGCCAACCTTTCAGTCAGCAAGTTCAGCAGCTCAGCAGTTTAACCTGCTGTGCCACCGGAGGCTCCTAAAAATAGTAATACTTCGGGGAGATATGGCAGGTTAATAATAATAATACTTTATTTATAACCCACCATATCTCCCTGAATAAAAAAAAACATTATTGAAAAATCCTAAATTGGTGTAGACATGATGGGGAAGTATGCTTACGTGATGAAATAAGAGAACAGAGAATCTATCTCCTTGTCCCTACCTTGATGAATGCAGAGCAGTAATTGGGACACAAAGACAAGATGTGGTGCTGTGTAACAGTGTCCACTGGGCAGGTTGAGAGAAGAAAGATCTGATGGGCTCCAGGTGCAACAGATCCGCAGCTGGGCTTGACCAAGATGGCAGGGCACTTCTCCCGGTCCATGTGAAAATGGACGGATGTACAGCCCACATTATAGAGCAGTATGCTGCGGTATGTAGTAGTGTTCCGGCATACTGGAGGGAAGACCTGGGAGACAATAACAATTACAATGGCAAATAGCGTGGTTAATAGTGAATGTATTGTCTTAAATGTTTAAATATATTTTAGAATTCTATTTTTAAATGTTTTTTTTTTATTGTACATTGTCGTAAGGCATCAAATAGTTGCCTACGTGTAAAGCCACCCTGAGTCCCCTCCAGGGTTGAGAAAGGCAGGATATAAATGTCATAAATAAATAAAATAAATAAACAAACAAACATGTTTTGGTTGGAGAAACAGTCTAGTTGCATTTTCCTTTTTTCTTAGTTTCTGTTCCTTAAAGATATACTTTGTGGGGACTGTAAAGATCCCTTACCTTTTTCAGCCTGGATGGCAGGGCCTAGGAGAAGTCTGCCAGCTAGTTTGCCGCTTAGGTGGGCCTGGCAAAAGCAGCAGTAGCCATTGTAAATCAGGGAAGGCACCATTTTAGAGAGGGGGAGTGTCTTAGGCCCGAGTCAGCATGAGAACGGCCAGGATTGGTTTAGGAAAAGGGGCAGAGTTTAGAGAGACTCGGAGGGGAAAAGAGCCTTTTCAGAGAGAAAGAGAGTTGTTGGAGATTAGAGTAGGGAGAGAAAGGGTGTTTTAGAAGTTTGTGCTTGAGATAGTTTAGGAGAAGGCATTTTGTCATAGGTTTGCCAGCAAAGTCAGCTGAAGCAAACTGGATTGTAGTTAGATAGACCATAGTTTAGGGTAGCTAAGCTACAGAATTAATCCTGACAGAGATTCAGTTCCTGTTAGGTTTGCTTGTTAAGGAAGAGAAGAAAATCTCTGTATTGTAACAAAGATAGAACCATTATATGTAACCATTACGCATTTCAAGACAAAAGCCAAAATTTCTCTGTAACAACCAAGATATTAAACAGCACTTACTTTCTTGTGTTTTTATCAATAAACTTTCATCGATTATTCAAAATTTTAAAAGCCTGAGTCAAGTGTGCCTTTGTGGCTATAGTTCCTTAAACAGCCTGAACTGTTTTTTTTTTTTAAAAGAAGAAACAATAAGACACAGTGCTTGGTGGTCTTAAAAACACCTTTAATATTTTGGGCAGCTAGAGTGTTCCCTTGCATTACAGATTGGTGGCAGAGGTTGCGGGATTGATCGATTTGCGATCGATATCTTTATAGGGACAATAGAATTTTCTGAGGATAACAATAAAGAGCAAATAAAATGCCTAACACCTAGTCCACTTTCCATGGGAGAGGCCCACTAAGTGTAAGTCCCAAGTAGTGGATACTGTCATTGATGGCTTGTAACACTGAAGTCTTTTCTAGGTTAGACTCACACAGAAATTAAAAGTGGGCAGAGAGAGGAATTTGGTGGCTAAGTGAGGTTATACATAGATGCACTACCAAAGAGAAGTGTGTATAGGCTATTCTGTGATGGAATAAATTAATCTTCTCAACAATTTAACGGAAAGTTACCCTTGTAGCCTCTTTCTTTCCATACTATGGGCCAAAACTTTATCTTTTTATAAAGGAGAGGGTAATGGTTAATGGCTTTTGAAAAGTTGTTTAAATTATTGCTAGAGGATGAGTCTTCAGGAGTGAAACAAAAGCCCTGTATCCATCAGGGCACTGGAAAGTCCCTTTGGCTACATATTGTAAAAACAAGATTGATCTGAGATGAAAGGAAAATATAGTCAGGTTGCTACAGATGCAAGTCTTTGCACTTCATAGTAGAATGAAAGACAAGTATAATTGAACAAAGAGGAGAGGGATTTCCCCGTCATTACAATGGAGGAATTGGCTTCTAATCCCTCATTCGTATAATGTAAATGATTATAAAGTGCACTCCCAAAATACCAGAAAAAGAGGTTTTTTACAGCACTAAATTTTCAGTTCCATAGAAATGTCAAACCTACTGGAGATGGGCCTCTGCTGACCTCTGCTGTCACTAAGCTGGTTAAGACAACACTCAAGAAACACTTATTCAGAAATTCTGATTGGCAACTGCCAAGGAGGAAAAAGATTCTCCCTCAAGCAGCAGAAGAGGAAAGAAAGCAAGAAACAAATGTTAATCCTTTTATTATTTATTATACACAATGCAAGGCTCTGGGCAGATTTGTAAGTGTGCAGAAGGGGAAAAAACACTGTATGGCCCTGTGGGTAAAGTGTTGACCTTCCATTCTGCACACACAAGATTTTTAACTGTGCCCAGTCATGACACTGGGTGTAACTGGCAAAGCATGAATTCTTGAAATTGGTTCTCTGTATATAAAATGGGGTGTGGGGGGAGATATTTACCTCCATCATAAACTGTGAGCAAACTAAGTGAAGAGAATATGTTTTTGGCAAACAGAACCAAGTGGAAGTTTAAAGATAACCCCTTCTAATCTCCAGTCAGCTTGCTGTAGAGAACCAAGAACCTTCTTCGGGGGATGAATCTATCCATCTTACCTCATGGTAGTCCATGGTGTACCGTGGGATTAAGTGCTGCACACCAGGTTGAAAAGTGTGTCCACACAAGCGGATGGTCAAGCTCCATGAAGGGCACATCGTGACTGACTCCTCAATGTTGTTATAGTTGCGCAGAACCTGCCAGTGAAAAAAGCAAGAAATGGGACCATTCTGACTGGAAGCATACCAAAAGTACATTTCTATCCATGCACTGTTTCCACACCAAATCACAGGGCTGCCAGATAGCAAGGGATCAAGCTGGCCTTAAACAGAAATCTTGCATTTGACCATTATTGTCTGTTTTTAAGTAAGTGCCACTTCTTACTGGGAAAGGAAGAATTTGGCTTCCATGCCCATCAAATCAAGTAGACCAAAGAATGATGAGCAAATATTTTGTGATCATCTCCATAACCAGGAAAAATTATTACCAATGCAAGTTTACTGACTGGAACGCCCAAGCCATTAACATGGTTGGCATTGATTAGTACTCACCTTGTAAAAGGCAAAGCCTTCTAGTTCAGCTGTATACAGGGAATTGAGCTGGGTAGGCTGGAAGGTGATGCGGAACGCCATCGTCTTCAAAGGTGGGATGTCACAACTCTCTGGGATCGCCTGGAAAGGACTGCTTGGCTTCTTTGTCCATATCACAGTGACCTTTCCCTTTGTGTGGTTAGTCACACTCAGAGGAAGTGGCTCGATCTCTTCCAGTTTTGCACAACAGCCGAAATCAAACTCCTTAACACTAAGGCTGACATGGGGAGGAAACATGGCAAAGTCACTGCTGACACCATCATGGAAATATTCAACCATGGGCTCAATGTTAGGGTATTCCTCTGGGGGTTTGTCTTCCAGAATCTATAAAGACAAAAGGGGGGGGGGAGTATCTTAGTCTCAAGAGAAAACAAATAACTAGATGGGAACTGTTCTGAACCAAAAGCACATGGTGTTTCTTTCAGTATCACTAGGTATGGGAAACAAATGTCAGAATGCCATTATTCATAGGGAAATCAAGATTTCAGAAACATTCCAGTTCTAAATAAAGATCATTAGGACGGGGACCCAGAAAGGGAGGCTGAAAATAACATAAAATTCAGTAGCTTTGAATTTGTATGGGCATCTTCTATTCATGATACTTCTTACACCATATCCTGACAGCAGTGATTATACATAAGTATCACACAATTGCAGGATGGAGTATGTTTGGTTCTTGTCACAGACATGTATTATTTACCTCTGGTGGGAGTGTGAGAGTTCCGTTTTCATCCACCAAAAGCTTGCCTTCCTTCAGCATAGTGCCAAGGATGTCTGGCGAGAAAAAGGTCAGTCCCCTGGCCATGTGTGTCCTGAATTTGGTAAGGTGCTTCAGTGTCAGAATAAGTGGGTGCATTGTCTCTGTATGACAGGTCCCAATTAAATCTAGGAATAACGGATCCTGAAAAAAATGCAAGCATAAGGAGAGAAGGGTCATCTTCAGTGTAGTCTTTTCACTCTCGACAGCGCTGCAAATCATTAATTGGGAGTCTTTTGGGGGCCAGAGGGAGTGAGGCATCCATGTCAGGAGAAAATGCTGCTGGTGCTGAAGGTACAGCTAGCCACTCCTACTGTACCTTCACCACCACCTTTCCATTGTGTTAGAGCACATGTGTCAAACTCAAGGCTCACAGATTGAATCTGCCCCACTAGGTCATTTTGTGTGGCTCTCCAGATGCTGGACAACAACTCCTGTATTCCTTCTCATTAAACATCATGACCGGAGCTTTTTTGTTGTTGTTGTTGTGTCAGGAGCGACTTGAGAAACTGCAAGTCGCTTCTGGTGTGAGAGAGGGCTAGAAGGCATGATCATCAAGTTTGCAGACGACACCAAATTGGGAGGGATAGCCAATACTCCAGAGGACAGGAGCAGAATTCAAAACGATCTTGACAGATTAGAGAGATGGGCCAAAACTAACAAAATGAAGTTCAACAGTGACAAATGCAAGATACTCCACTTTGGCAGAAAAAATGAAATGCGAAGATACAGAATGGGGGACACCTGGCTCGAGAGCAGTACGTGTGAAAAAGATCTTGGAGTCCTCGTGGACAACAAGTTAAACATGAGCCAACAATGTGATGTGGCGGCAAAAAATGCCAATGGGATTTTGGCCTGCATCAATAGGAGCATAGTGTCTAGATCTAAGGAAGTAATGCTACCCCTTTATTCTGCCTTGGTTAGACCACACCTGGAATATTGTGTCCAATTCTGGGCACCACAATTCAAGATATTGACAAGCTGGAATGTGTCCAGAGGAGGGCGACTAAAGTGATCAAGGGTCTGGAGAACAAGCCCTATGAGGAGCGGCTTAAGGAGCTGGGCATGTTTAGCCTGAAGAAGAGAAGGCTGAGAGGAGATATGATAGCCATGTATAAATATGTGAGAGGAAGCCACAGGGAGGAGGGAGCAAGCTTGTTTTCTGCTTCCTTGGAGACTAGGACGTGGAACAATGGCTTCAAACTACAAGAGAGGAGATTCCATCTGAACATTAGGAAGAACTTCCTGACTGTGAGAGCTGTTCAGCAGTGGAACTCTCTGCCCCGGAGTGTGGTGGAGGCTCCTTCTTTGGAAGCTTTTAAGCAAAGGCTGGATGGCCATCTGTCAGGGGTGATTTGAATGCAATATTCCTGCTTCTTGGCAGGGGGTTGGACTGGATGGCCCATGAGGTCTCTTCCAACTCTTTGATTCTATGATTCTATGAATTTGCTAACAAGGACATTGCCCAGGACGCCCGGATGATTTGATGTTTTATCATCCTTGTGGGAGGCTTCTCTCATGTCCCCACATGAGGAGCTGGAGTTGATAGAGGGAGCTCATCCGCCTCTCCCCGGATTCGAACCTGCGACTTGTCGGTCTTCAGTCCTGACGGCACAGGGGTTTAACCCACTGTGCCACCAGGGGCTCCATGACCAGAGCTGATGGTATTTGTGATACAGTAAGATCTGGAAGACTGCACTTTGTTCTGTTTAGTCAGGATAGTGGGGTTAGAATTTAGATACACGACTTGTGGATATAGTGTCTGGCTTTAAAAGGTCCTTTAACCTTTACCTAACCTAAGAGCTACATGTGTTGTTGGATTGTAATTCCCATTATCCTTCGTCTGCATAGTAGATAATCAAAAGTGATGGGAGGTGTCTGTCAATAACATCCGGGACCCCAAACTGGGTAAAAACTAAAGAGCATTAGCCACTAAGTTAAGAGGTTATTGTTGTCCCTCTGTATTGATGGATATGCCATCCATAGATTCAATGGCCATTTCAAGGCAACCATAAGGTTGATATGGCCCTCGATGAAAAGGAGTCTAACAATGTATTGTCGAAGGCTTTCATGGCCGGAATCCATGGGTTGTTGTAGGTTTTTCCGGACTATATGGCCATGTTCTGGAGGCAATTTTTCTCCTGACGTTTCGCCTGCATCTATGGCAAGCATCCTCAGAGGTAGTGAGGTCTGTTGGAAGTAGGAAAAATGGGTTTATATATCTGTGGAATGACCAGGGTGAGACAAAGGACTTTTGTTTGCTGGGGCTAGCTGTGATGTTTCAGCTGATCACCTTGATTTGCATTCAATGGCTTGGTAGCGCCTGGGGGGAATCTTTTGTTGAGGGTGATTTCATGTGCCTGTTTGTTTCCCCTCTGTTGTTTTTCTGCTGTAATTTTTGAGTTTTTTAATACTGGTAGCCAGATTTTGTTCATTTTCATGGTTTCTTCCTTTCTGTTGAAATTGTCCACATGCTTGTGGATTTCAATGGCTTCTCTGTGTAGTCTGACATGGTGGTTGTTGGAGTGGTCCAGCATTTCTGTGTTCTCAATTAATATGCTGTGTCCAGGCTGGTTCATCAGGTGCTCTGCTATGGCTGACTTCTCTGGTTGAAGTAGTCTGCAGTGCCTTTCATGTTCCTTGATGCGTGTCTGGGCGCTGCGTTTGGTGGTCCCTATGTAGACTTGTCCACAGCTGCATGGTATACGGTAGACTCCTGCAGAGGTGAGAGGATCCCTCTTGTCCTTTGCTGAACGTAGCATTTGTTGGATTTTCTTGGTGGGTTTGTAGATTGTTTGTATGTTGTGTTTCCTCATCAGCTTCCCTATGCGGTTAGTGGTTCCCTTGATGTATGGCAGGAACACTTTTCCTCTGGGTGGATCTTCATCTTTACTCTCGTGGTTTGTTCTTGGTCTTGCAGCTCTTCTGATGTCTGAGGTGGAGTATCCATTGGCCTGTAGAGCCCAGTTAAGGTGGTTCAGTTCATCCTGGAGAAGGTGGGCAGATTCTTTTTGCACGGTCTGCCAAGGCTTTAATGTTGCTTCTTTTTTGACTTGGGTGATGGTTGGAGTTTTTATGTAGATATCTATCTGTGTGTGGGTTTTCTGTAAACGGTGTGACCCAATTGTTGATCTGGTTTGCGGATGACTAGGACATCTAGAAAAGGCAGTCTTCCTTCATTTTCTTTTTCCATGGTGAATTGGATGTTTGGGTGGATGCTGTTAAGATGGTCCAGGAACCTGTTGAGTTCTTCTTCTCCATGGCTCCAAATGGTGAAGGTGTCATCCACATATCTGAACCATATCGTGGGCTTTTTGGTTGCTGTTTCCAGGGCTTGTTTTTCAAAGTGTTCCATGTAGAAATTAGCTATGACCGGGCTGAGAGGGCTCCCCATAGCTACTCCATCTTTCTGTTCATAGAACTCATTGTCCCACTGAAAGTAGCTGGTGGTGAGGCAATGGTGAAACAGAGCTGTGATGTCTTCTGGGAACCTCTGGTTGATGAGTGCCATTGTGTCTGCTACCGGGACCATGGATCCTCTCACCTCTGCAGGAGTCTACCGTGTACCATGCAGCTGTGGACAAGTCTACATAGGGACCACCAAACGCAGCGCCCAGACACGCATCAAGAACATGAAAGGCACTGCAGACTACTTCAACCAGAGAAGTCAGCCATAGCAGAGCACCTGATGAACCAACCTGGACACAGCATCTTATTTGAGAACACAGAAATGCTGGACCACTCCAACAACCACCATGTCAGACTACACAGAGAAGCCATTGAAATCCACAAGCATGTGGACAATTTCAACAGAAAGGAAGAAACCATGAAAATGAACAAAATCTGGCTACCAGTATTAAAAAACTCAAAAATTACAACAACAAAACAACAGAGAGTAAACAATCAGGCACATCAAATCACTCTCAACAAAAGATTCCCCCAGGCACTTCCAAGCCATTAAATGCTAATCAAGGTGGTCAGTTGAAACATTCACACCTAGCTCCAGCAGACAAAAGTCCTTTGTCCCACCCTGGTCATTCCACAGATATATAAACCCATTTTCCTACTTCCAACAGACCTCACTACCTCTGAGGATGCTTGCCATAGATGCAGGCGAAACGTCAGGAGAAAAATTGCCTCCAGAACATGGCCATATAGGCCGGAAAAACCTACAACAACCCAGTCTAACAATCCTATATAAGAGGATAGGCAAACAGCCTCACTTGGGCTGATCCTCACATACTACAGTGATAACAGCAAGTTTACCAGTTCTGTGTATTCTGGACATTTTCCTTCTACTCTGGGTAGTTTTCATAGAATCATAGAATCAAAGAGTTGGAAGAGACCTCATGGGCCATCCAGTCCAACCCCCTGCCAAGAAGCAGGAATATTGCATTCAAATCACCCCTGACAGATGGTCATCCAGCTTCTGCTTAAAAGCTTATAATTTCTAGAGAAATTATACAAACATTTTCCAAGAATCCTTCTTGTGCTATTGGCTTTGTTCTCCCTCTCCCAAATAGATATACAAGAAATTGTCTTAGGGATGTTTAGATGTTTTATGAATTTTGCCTGGAAATGAGATCTCCCTTTCTTACAGCTGACCACAGGATAAAGTATTTAAAATCAAACACTTGGCTAATAAAAGGAACAACAGCTGTTAAAAAGGTAGGACCCCCTTTTGCCTGAGCTTTCTCATTCATTGCCAGCATTCTCAGGACTCTAATCCAGGTTCCAAAGATAAAGACTTGGGACTGAACATTCTAGCATGTTGCAGGCATTTTGTAATTTAAAACTCTTATGGCTTGTACCTAACTCTCAGAAGAGGAATACCAGCTTTTTAAAATGGAGGGGTTAGGGGAAAATATACAAAAGCTACAAAACCACTAAATAGTGGCATCATACAGAAGGAGGAAGGGACATGAGGGCCAGATTTGGCCCCGGGACTTATGGTTTCCCATACCTGAGATACTACAAGGGAGCAAATAAAACCAATAAATATGTGGAGACTCAGCACTACCTGCAGTTATGAAGCTTAAAGCTGAAGCTGCACAAATCAAAATCAGTGCTTCTGGTCAAGTTTAAGAAATATTCTTCAGAATGCAAATAGAAAGATATTGGAGTGAGAATAATATTACATAAGCAGAACTGTACTAAGTAAAGGTAAAGTTTTCCCCAGACATTAAGTCTAGTCACGTCTGTGGGATGGTGCTCATCTATATTTCTAAGCCAAAGAGCCAGCATTGTCCATACCTATTGATCTACTCACATTTGCATGCTAGATTGACAGAAGCTGGGGCTAACAGAAAGAGCTCACCCACTCCCCAGATTCAAAGCACTGACCTTTTGGTCAGAAAGTTCAGTAGCTCAGCGGTTGAAACCACTGCACCACCAGAGGGAATACCAGAGTTGTACTAGTCAACTGATTTTGCTCCTTCAGTGGAATGTACAAGCAAAAGAGCTCTTTCAAAAGAAGATGCAGTCCTCTGATGCCTCTTACCTGCTGATGAATAAGGCAAGCCACTCTTCGATGGCAAATTATTGGGTGGGTGGGCTGGAATGTCACCTTCAAGGTGATAGTGGTCATCCCATCCAAGATCCCATAAGGACAGTCAATGGAAAAGACACTCTGCTTGCAGTCTATGTCAAACTGATAGTAGGCAGGGACATCAGAGCTGTTGGTCATCTCTAAAGGCTGTATCAAGTATTCCCCAAGATTAATGCAGCTGAAGTAGACAAAGGGATGCTGAAAAGAAACCTCAGGACCTAGGATGACAAATACAACCAATGTTTATGCAATGAGTGCTGCTGACCTTCTCTCAATGGTCCCCAGTCTTTTGCCCTCCAAAAGTTGCCTGTTCAGTTTTGTTGCGATTGAACTAATTGGTCCTAATCACCTTTCTCTGGGTATTTGTCTCAAGGCTTCCAAACAAATGCTGTACAAGGAAACTCTTGTTTGTACAAAGTAATCGAGAAACAGAGACCTTCCCAGACAGATGGGATCTACCTCTTTCTATTTGAAAGACCAGATGCGGTTTGCTATTGGAAGGAGGTAGTACAAGACATTTCTATCTAGCAACCCACGGTGAAGGTGACAGTTGCCTCAAAGAACACACAAAGTCTATAGGACTTATAGAGCTGGGCATGTTTAACCTTCAGAAGGGAAGGCTGAGATGAGACATGATGGCCATGTATCAAGATGTGAGGGGAAGTCATAGGGAGGAGGGAGCAGGCTTGTTTTCTGCTGCCTTGGAGACTAAGACACAGAACAATGCTTTCAAACTACAGGAAAGGAGATTCAACCTGAACATGAGGAACAACTTCCTAACTGTGAGAGCTGTTAAGCAGTGGAACCCTCTGCCCCAGAGTGTGGTAGAGGCTCCTTCTTTGGAGGCTTTTAAACAGAGGCTGGCTGGCCATCTGTCAGGGGTGCTTTGAATGCTATTTTCCTGCTTCTTGTCAGGGAGTTGGACTGGATGGCCCACAAAGTCTCTTCCAACTCTATGATTCTATGATTCTAAGAACAGGAATGAAAAGAGACCCAAAATAAACATCTCTAATTATTATTACCTACAGCCTGCAAAGGTCAACTTCTGTAGTGTGAATGTAACATAAGCACATCAGATAGCAATCTCTTGTACATGGTAAAGTCTAATATCCAGAAATATTCTGTATCCTAAAACTGTTGTGATCAGGAGTTAAATACCAACATTTGTGTTTTCACTGTCAATTACCTTTGCATGATCCTGTCACTTTTAGAACAGAGCGTGTGTTGTTCCCAGACGGCATAACAGTGAAGTAGTCCACGCTCTTCATGCCCACAGTCTGTGGGGTGAACCGAAAAGGGATGACTGAGGCCCCACGAGCTGGAGCAGTGGCTTGGATAATATCACAGGAAAATACATGATCGCGATATGCCCCTTCTTTTGGTCTGTTAATGGTAAACGGGGCCTTGACCTGTCAAAAGACAAAACAAAGTTACATCCCTCTCATCATTGGGATACAAAACAGTTTCCTTAACATTTTGCAGCAGAGGTTAACATAAATGCCACACTTTCCCCTTATAATGCAACCATTACTAAATTCCCATGCAAGCCACTCACAATCTCCTTGGAATAAGCAACAGAGATGCACCAGCAGACATCATCACATTAGGTGTATATGGGGAATAAAAGATTGGGAGGGAGATCCAGTAGACTTCTCTGTAGCCCTGGACCTATAATACAGGGCATACTGCGAAGCATACCAAAGACTACGAGAATGGAAACTCATGGGCATCTGACTGCTCTTTTTAGTAGCCTAGACTGAGGATTTTTCAGGGGACAGCTCAGGATTCAATGTTCAGGATTCAAGGAGCTAAAATCTAAAAATATCTGGAGGACAAATATTGAGAACCACTGGTGTAAAAATACAGGCATGCAATAGGTCAAGGGTTCTCAACCTGTGGGTCCCTAGGTGTTTTGGCCTACAACTTCCAGAAATCCCAGCTAGTTTACCAGCTGCTAGGATTTCTTGGAGTTGAAGGCCAAAACATCTGGGGACCCACAGATTGAGGACCACTGCTATAGATACTGACAAAGAAAGTTAGAATATATATATTTGACTAACTACTTCAAATTCAAGGATCAGTTTTCTGTACCACAGACACATTGAAGATCTGCACATATTTTTCCACAGTTCTTCCAACAGCAACAGACCCAAAAGAGAGCACATCCTGGAAACTTTTAAACCGAGGATCTTCATAAGGGTCTTCAGGCACATTCACCAGCAGGTGGGGATATTTAGCTGCAGGGACAAGTGAGAAAATATTTAATAGGCAACTACAGAATCTTTCTATTCTCAAAGTGTGCAAATTCAGGGATTCGTTTCACTTTGCCTACTTTCCAAGCTCATCGTTTTGCTTTAGGGTGGATCAAGATGCTGCAAAAACATTCTGGGATTAGTAATGTGCCTTCTGTACAAGACTCAACCCATCACAATGAATGGACTGTCAAGAATGAAACACATAGAAATAAGAGACATCAAACATAAAAATGAATTAAAGCCATATTGGTTAATAATATGGTAATCATTTCCTAAGAAGAAAATTTTGTCCAGAAGAATACAATCTAGCCTGGGATTTACTTGTTCCTTCAGGCTCTGGGAGTTAGATGCACTCACAACAGAAATGTTCAGAAAGAAAACACATTGTTTTATAAAATGTGCCATTTTGCATGGAAGGTATCTAAACATTCATCAAGCAGCACAAGGATTTTAAACAGTCATTAGGCATAATTTTAGGTAGATACTTTGGGAGTATGGCTATACAGCAAATTACAGAAAATATGATGGAATTAGGAACCAAGCAAATAAAAAATAGGATCAAATTAGAGATGTTCCTAATAATCAGATAAAGCCAAGTGTTAAGATACTATGCAAAAAAGAAAACAGGATGACCTATCACATGCCGTCTCAACACATGGCGTTCCAGTGTGGTAAAAGGAAACTGAATTAACAAAATCTAACATTATGACCTATGTTGGGTGCCCTGACTTCTAGAGTCCTCACCAACAGCTTTGAGCCTGATGGCCTTCTTCTCGCAAGTATCTCCAAAATTGCAAACTGCTGATACATCATATACTAGAGCCACCAGAGGTTGAAAGATCACCTTCATTGTACACTTCTCTCCTGGATCCAATATGCCACGGGTAGGCAGAAGAGAGAAGGGGCTTGGTGCCTCCCAGCTAAAGCATGTCAGCAGATCCCTGGAAAGAACACATGACAAAACCCAAATCCTGGTAAGAAACCTTTTCTCAAAGCATTGGAAAGATATTTAGCACGTGATCAGCCCTTCCTTCTGAACCAGAAGTGGAGGGAATGCTACATACCATGCCCTCCAATTTCTTAGCAAGGAAGTACATTTCACCTACTTTATATTGATATCTGATAAAACAAATTTCATGTCTGCAGGGAGAAGGCTGGTGGGAGCTTTACTTAGGGTTACTCAGTTACTTCACGGCAGTGACAGTTCATACAAGGCCCTCAATCATTGTTCAGACATTATGCTACTATACCATTTTATGGATTTAAACTTGCTCTTTGAATCTTCTTGCGGAGATGAACAGAGACATTTTTAGACCCAAATATATGACGTAAAAGTTAACACATGGATTGAATCAGCCTATCAACTCCCAGTGCTGACAGCTCAAGAGCTTGCTGCTATCCCATTCAAAACTGTTTACAGCATCCTTTCAAGAAACTAATCACATTTCTACATTTCAGAGTTGGTAGGTGGGAAGAAATTATGAATTCAACAGGAATGATTCAGCTGCATGCATTATTTACCATGTATTTATTTAGATGAGTTACATCCTGGGATATTAGGTGGTTTCTGGGCTGTATGGCCATGTTCTAGCAGCATTTTCTTCTGACATTTCACCTGTACCTGTGGCTGGCATCTTCAAAGGATCCTCTGAAGATGCCAGCCACAGATGCAGACAAAACGTCAAGAGACAATGCTGCTGGAATATGGCCCAACAGCCCAGAAATCACAACAACACCCTAGTGATTCCAGCCATGAAAGCCTTTGACAATACATATTTAAATCCTGCTCTTCAGAAGGTACAAACCCATAAAAAAGAAAATCTCTTATTTGGTGCTTATTACATAAAAAGGCACAGGAGGAAAAGAGATGAGGATGAAAAAGGAAAATCATAGTAATCAAACAGCAATTACTGTATAAAGATTTCATATGGAGTATGTGCAGCACAAATATCATGGCTCTAATGGAGGCAGAAGTTGTCTTCTTATGATTTCCTGAAATAGACTGCATCCCACCTTGAATCCAGACAGTAAGTAACCCTGAAGGCTACCCATAAGCACACTCACCCATCATTGTACACAGTAAAACAGGCTTCTGTATAGTCATGGACAGCACAGGCAGGAAGTTGGATGCTGTCTGGAAAAAGCAGGTCAAGATGTGGTAGCTTGGCATGAAGTGCAACAGAGAACTCTCCCTCTTGCTTTTCAAAAAGGATGCTGTCTTCATATTCCTTCTGCATTAGAGGACAATCAAAATGAAGACATGATCTATGTCAGATGAAAAGAATAGGAAGGCCATCTTTAGCAGAAAGTATAGATATATACTTCCTAAGAGATTTCTAGAAAATAAACTGAACATGAACAGTTAAGCAGCATTTATTAGGCCAATTTATTAGTTTAAATTATTTTCAAATACAGTTTCCAAAGTAGCTTGCAAGAAAACAATAAAGGGAACCCAAATCCAAAGATAAAAACAATATAAGCAGCAGATTTGTAAAATGCAAAACAGAAAAAAAGGCTTCAAACACCATCTAAAATGGGAAATGAGTATGATGTACTGAGGGAGAGATGTTTACAACTGTGATATCACCTCCGTGATGGTCCTGTTTTTGTATTGTCTGGTCAACTTTTATTTAATGGACAAAGGAGGGGTGCCACCAAAGCTGATCTTTAGGAAATCTTCAAGATAAATTTGGAAGACTTAAACAGCCAGGAAACAGCTTATTACCAACCCTTTAAACCGAACCCAGGAATAAAGGTCACCCATAGTTCATTAACTGATTAATTTTTTCCAATTCAATTTTATTACAATATCTTTACTAAGGTTGGTTATACAGGTGGCAGGTAGTGTGGACAGTATTGTAAATATTAAGGTCATTTTAAAAAATTCATTTACTGGATTTTTATGCCACCTTTCACTTAAAGAATGACACGCAATAAAGCGAGACTGAATTGTACTATAGCCAATATTTCACTATTCTTACTGCACCTAAGAGACTACTCATTGCTTTCCTGAGATTTGGATTCCTTCCAGTTATGTGAAAAGGAAAGCTTTAACTGGAATTCATGTATCTGTGACAGCAAACTAAGAATAAATTTTGAGAAACAGCAGGGCCTACAAGTCCCAGAGGGAGCATACCAGCTCAATCCTTGCATAAGTCAGCTAGTTCAATATTCATCTCTCTTGCTTTTTTCTTTGCTTATCAAGTTAGAAAATGAGAGCTGCGGCAGGGGTGCGGGGGAGATATCAAGGTAATACACAATTATATTGGTGATTCTAAAGGAGTAGCAAATACCCCCACTATACCTTTTCCAAAGGACGGAAGATGACGGGCAGAGCTATAGACATGCCAGGACTCAAAATTATCGGCTGGGGAAAAATGGTAATGAAGAAATGTGTAGTGGGAGGTCTGGAATTAAAACCAAAAACATAACGCATTTTGTTCAAGACATAATAAAAATTGTGACTACAAAATGTTAACAATATATGGTGCTGAGTGTTTGTACTCATACGTGAATTGACCAAATAACATTGTGAAGTCAGATGTGTTCCACTGTGGCATTCAGAAAAAAATCAAATAAACATTTTAAAAAACAGCACTATAAAGATACTGGCTGGCATTCTATTGGGAAGTTACATAATCATAAACCAAATGCATAAAGCTATACATCGCAGGTCACTAGAAAGGTTGCACATCATGTCAGCAACATATTTCTGCCATTGTAAAGTTAAACATTATAACTTCTGATACAGGAGCTTGGCCAATATTAATGAAAATGTTTATGATGATAATTAGAATTGCTGCATATCAGAAAACCTACACAATCCAGTAAGGGTATTAAAAAGCAAAGAAAAATTATTTAGGTCCAAGCAATCCGACAGAAGTTTCCAGGCTTGTTTAAAAAGATGGGGTGATGACAAGTATTTATTAATGTATCACTCTTGCATATTCCTTTCTTTGTGGACATGTTTTCTGAGTAATAATAATAATAATAATAATAATAATAATAATAATCTTTATCTATATCCCACCACCATCTCCTAAAAGGTACTCGGGGTGGCTTACAAGGCACTAGAAGTGTAGTATATAACATAAACAGTACATGAGTATAAGAACAATATCACATAAAAGTTATAAAAAACAATCACTATGAACACATCAAATAAACTAAAAACACAGTTTTAAACACACACCATCTGTCATTAAAACTAGCTGCCTTCAAATCACAACTAAAGTGCTAAAGTGTCAATCTCATATGGGCCCATTTCAGCCTTCTGGAGGCCAAAAGCCTGCTTTAAAATCCATGTTTTTTTAGGCTGCAACAGAAGGTTTTATTAACATGGGTTGAGAGGAAGGTGCTTAGAGAAGAACAGTTCCTCCTTTCTTTGGTATGACCTACATACCTGAATTTTAGTTTCTGTGGTTTCAGACACACGTTTCTCAAAGTTAAGTGTTTTGTGAATTCTCTTCCTAGACACCATCCTTGCCAATTGAGAGTCTCAGCGACTTCAATGCCCGCAAAAATATTCTTCTTAATTTTCCTTAGAGTAGACTCCTGCACAGACATCGCTGGCTTCTGAAGAAATAGGGACAAGCAAGTTGTAACCGGGCATGACTGTATCCAGACAACAAGTTATTGCGTACCCAAAGAATTAGCAAGAGAAAGTATTCTAATATCAATACTTATGAGCAAATAACTAGAAAAGTTAAGACAGGGATGACATCAAGGGTCCTAGGGGTATTTTTGCTTTCCCCCCCCCAACCCCCCCCCCCCCCCGACCTCCTGAGGGCCACAAAATGGACATCATTTTCAGTGATGTTTCTAATGGCTGGAAGTGATGTTTCTAATGGCTGGAAGTAATTTCACAACACATATAGAAAGTGTTTTGGGTTCATGTCTCCAAATGCTGTTTTAGTCACCACCACCACCCCCCCAAAAAAGCATCTTTAGCTGATTTTTTTGTGATGATTACACTACTCCCACCCCTGAACAAAAATAATGTCAGTGGAAATTACACTGCTCAGCATTTCAAGTGTAAAACAATCTGAGTCATAAAAATTACTGACCTGCTTTCTACCACTATGGCAGAGCCTTTGAAGAGGGTCTGAGCTGGATGTGCATCTATTTAAATGAGTGAGCATCTTTGCACCTGAGAGAGCCAAAGGATATCTTAATTATTCAGAAAACTGCAAAATGTCAAAGCTTGTGATGACAGGAGAAGATCATTCTCAAACAGTCTGGCCATTCAGAAATTATGGAGCAGCTTACTCTCCAGAAAGAAAACTGTGTTAGACTGCATTTAGAGGAAATGTTTTGTCATGAACATTTTTTTTTAGCAGAGAAAATCCTTAACTCTAGAGAACGATCTATACCAGCACAATCCTATGTATACTCTGAGTAAACCTGTAAATTCAATGGGGATTTGCTGCATAATAAACGTTTAAAATGATATCATTATATTGTGTTTGTTCGGGGTCTATGAATTCAAGATAATTTATTTATTTCCAGAATAGCTGTTAGTGATTTCAGTCTTCATAATATTTGTTACTTCTGTAGTGTAACTGATCATCTAAAAATCATTACTAAAATATTTCTCCAAAAGAATGCACAATGCAATAAATTAATTTTTTGGGTACACTGGCAAGTTAATACCACTTGAACTGCCATGGCTCAATGCTAATTCACCCTGTGAGTTATAGTCTGGCGAAGAACAAGCCCACTTTGGCAGAGGAAGCTGAAGACCTTGTGAAACTACAACTCCCAAAATCCCATAGCATTAAGCCCCTGCACTAAAATTGGTGTGAAAACACACTAATTTGACAGTGTTGATCAGGCATGGGCAAAGTTTGGCCCTCCAGGTGTTTTGGGCTTCAACTCCCACAATTCCTAACAGCCGGTAGGCTGTTAGGAATTGTGGGAGTTGGAAGTCCAAAACACCTGGAGGGCCGAACTTTGCCCATGCCTGGTGTAGATGCATTCTGAGGCTAGTGGGAAAGGGTCTTTTGCTGTGGCTTTAATTTTGAATATGTTTTTAATCGGCTTTCAAGGATTTTAACCATAAATATGCAATTCAATTTTAATATTTCCATATTTTAGGTTTTAAATTGTATTGAAATGCTTGTAATACTTGGAGTCTCCTTTGTGGGGAGAAAAAAGTGGAGAATAAACAAGCATAATAATAATAATAATAATAATAATAATAATAATAATAATAATAATAATTTGAAATACCCCTCTTTTTTCTGTTTTCATCTTTGTACACAGTGAAATGTGTAGAAAATGAGGCCCAGGTCTAAACACAACATTTATTTATTATTCATATGCACACCTTGTACAAATATCCTGAAGGTGATAGTATACCCAATACTTTTAATAACATTGTGCATGAAGCCAAAGTTTGTGTCCACTGAGCACAAATTACTGCAATAGAAAGAGAAAGCACAAGCACCCAGTAAAGCAAAGGTAAAGGTTTTTCCCTCAACATTACGTCTTGTCATATCCGACTCTGGGGGTTGGTGCTCATCTCCATTTCTAAGCCGAAGACCCGCCGTTGTCCGTAGACGCCTCCTAGGTCATGTGGCCAGCATGACTGCATGGAGCACTGTTACCTTCCCGCTGGAATGGTACCTATTGATCTACTCACATTTGCATGTTTTCGAACTTCTGGGTTGGCAGAAGCTGGGGATAACACCGGGAGCTCGTCCCGCTCCCTGGATTCGAACCGTCGACCTTTCAGTCAGCAAGGTCAGCAGCTCAGCAGTTTAACCCACTATGCCACCAGTGGGCCACCCAGTAAACAATTCCTAATTTTCGAGTATTTTGGGAATTCAAAATAAGTATTGTTGAAGGCTTTCATGGCTGGAATCACTTGGTGGTTGTAGGTTTTTCAGGCTGTATGGCCATGTTCTAGAAGCATTCTCTCCTGAAGTTTCGCCTGTATCTATGGCAAGCATCCTCAAAAGTTGTTCTAGAAGCATTCTCTCCTGACGTTTCGCCTGCATCTATGGCAAGCATCCTCAGAGGTTGTGAGATCTCACTACCTCTGAGGATGCTTGCCATAGATGCAGGCGAAACGTCAGGAGAGAATGCTTCTAGAACATGGCCATACAGCCCGAAAAACTTACAACCCAATTCCGAATAAGGCATTCTCAATTTGTATCTATTTTCTACAGAAGGTAAATTAAGACTTTTAGTAAAATCAACACACACTAAAACCTTAATACTACTCCTCCTCCTCTCACCAGCGGCGTCGCTGCTATGGAAACCGGACTCGGAAGCCGCGAGGACGGTTCCCCCAGCAACTAACTACGGCTCTCCCAGAGAGACATTCTTTTCAGGATTGCGAAAGAAAACGGGCATGAAAGGGGCGGAGTCCACAGGAGGAGAAATAATCCAGGGAGCTGTGTTGCAGGCTGTGCACCTCCATCATAGAATTAATACAGTTTGCCACCAGTTTAACTTCCATGGCTGTATGCTGTGGAATTATGGAGTTGTAGTTTTACAAGGTCTTTAGTCTTCTCTGCCAAAGAGTGCTGGGGCCTCACCAAACTACAACTCCTAGAGTTCAATGAGCCTGGCAATTAAAGTGTCAAACTGCAATAATTCTATAGTGTAGTTTAGGCATGGGCAAACTTGGGCCCTCCAGGTGTTTTGGACTACAACTCCCACAATTCCTAACAGCCTCAGGCCCCTTCCTTTTCCCCCTCAGCCGCTTAAGCTTTGTGGGAGTTGTAGTCCAAAACACCTGGAGGGCCCAAGTTTGCCCATGCCTAGTGTAGTTGCACCCTTCTTCTCTATGCCTTGCATGGGAGGAGTAAGAGAGAGAGAGAGAACAAATAGATACATTAACAGACAGCCGTCCCTCAGCCTAGCCTAATACTAACTAATTGGTCCTTATTGAGGACTGCAGACTTGAACAGTGTGAAGTTGACTTCCAACAGTTATAGTGCAAATAACAGCTCAATCCGTACCTTTGAACATCACTATTCAAGCACCTTTATTGTGTGATCTCTCCACTACTTCCCTGCAATGTTACTTTTTAACATTTTAAAATTTATATAGTATTCGCCATTACTATTACGGTACAATGGCATAATAATTATTTTTTTAAAAAAATAATTAAATTAATTAAGTAATTAATTAAAAAGAAATCAATCATGATAGGGGTTCCATAAAAAATTGAAATCAAATTTAAAACGGATTTTAAAATAAAATCACACAAGACGAATTAATGTAAAGTCTCTGTAGTAGCTATTTTGTGCTACAACTATTTTTATCAGGTAGTTATTAGCTACACATTTCAAAATTTTACAAGAGTGATTCATACACAGTCAATCTTTATTTGTATTTATTTAACCAGTCCATACTTCAGGAAATAAAGCCCGACTGCTCATTGGAGGGAAGGATAGTAGAGACAAAGTTGAAGTACTTTGGCCACATCATGAGGAGACAGGAAAGCCTAGAGAAGACAATGATGCTGCGGAAAATGGAAGGAAAAAGGAAGAGGGGCCGACCAAGGGCAAGATGGATGGATGGCATCCTTGAAGTGACTGGCTTGACTCTGAAGGAGCTGGGGGAGGTGATGGCTGACAGGGAGCTCTGATGTGGACTTGTCCATGAGGTCACGAAGAGTTGAAAATGACAGAACGAATGAACAACAACAACAAACAACAACTGCTTTTCTCACCCCACTGGAGCCCCCAGTGGCGCAGAGGGTTAAAGCACTCAGCTGCTGAACTTGTGAGTTCAAATCCAAGGAGCGGGGTGAGCTCCCACTATTAGTTCCAGCTTCTGCCAACCTAGCAGTTCAAAGATATGCAAATGTGAGTAGATCAATAGGTACCGCTTCTGCGGGAAGGTAACGGCACTCCATGCAATCATGCTAGCCACTTGACCTTGGAGGCGTCTATGGACAGCACCGGCTCTTCGGCTTAGACATAGAGGTGAGAACCAGCCCCCAGAGTCAGACACGACTGGACTTAATGTCAGGGCAAAACCTTTACCTTTACCTTACTCACTCCTGGGGGGACTCAAAGCAGTTCACATCAAATAAATAGCAAAAATTCATTGCCTCACATACCATAAAAACAGTATATCACACTATAAATTAAACCATTAAAAACTAAAAAAACATTTAACATTGCACTGATCCCAAGGTTGTCACCCATCTGCTACATTATTGTTGTCAACAAATGCTTGTTTGTATAACCAAGTTTTTTGTTGTTTTCTAAATGCCAGGAGTGAGGGAACCAATCTAATTTTGCTGTGGAAGGAGTTCCATAGCCGAGGGGCCACCACTGAGAAGATGACCGTGTCTCTCATCCCCACCAATCGTACCTGCGACAGCAGTGGGACCAAGAGCAGGACTTTCCTAGCTGATCTTAATTGATCTTAATTACCTTCAGACAGGTAAGCTGGACCAGTGTCTAGGGATTTATAGGCTAAAGCCAGCACTTTGAATTGTGCTCAGTAGCAGACTGGCAGCCAGTGGAGCTGACACAATGAGGGGTTGTATGCTCCCTGTACGCTGCCAGTGAGGAATCTGGGTACCGCCCGTTGGACCACCTGAAGCTTCTGAACAATCTTCATAGGCAAACGCACATAGAGCGCATTGCAGTAGTTCAAGATGTAACAAGAGCGTGGACCACCGTGGCCAAGTCTGACTTCCCAAGGTACAGGTGCAACTGGCACACAAGTTTTAATTGTGTGAATGCTCCCCTGGCCACCGCTGACACCTGAGTTTCCATGCTTAGCAATGAGTCCAGGAGAACTCACAAGCTGCAAACCTGCACCTTCAGGGGGAGTGTAACCCCGTCTAACACAGGCTGTAACCCTATACCCTGATCTTTCATGTTAATTTCTTTTTCATTCTTATTGCAATTTTTTAGTCCATGTAGGTCTATTGAAGGAAGAATCAACACTAGAAGGAAGGATTAACACATCTGAGAAAAGGGAAGTCTATTGGAGGAGTACAAAGGGAAGCAAAATCATGGTCAAGAACAGCAGCATTTTGTTGTTAGAAAGGAAGCCTACAGGGAAAAGTGCATTGGAGACGGGACAGTTTGGGGAGCAGATAGAATGCAGGGAATAAATTTGAATTCGACACTGTGAAACAATCAGACTCTTGACCAGGCATGTAGCCGG